AATTAGCAAAATACATTGTGCATATTGAACAATCATTTTTGTTAGCTGAAGATAATAAACTTGAAAAATTGGTTACGTAATTTTGTAAATCCACAATTTAAAAAAGTTTATAGGAATACTTTTAGATCAGATGTTTTAAATTTTTTTTATTCATATAAACAAATTTAATTTATATGTTATCAAATCTTAATTCTAAAGTTGCAATTACTTCTGATATTTGGACTTCTAAATTTAACATAAGTTATATTTGTGTCACCGGTCATTTTATTGATGAAAATTGACTTTTAAATAAAAGAATTTTAAGTTTTACTAGGCTTAAATGGCCATATACTAGCCTAACTATTGTTACAAGTATTTTAAATACTTTACATGCTTATGGAATTGACAATAAATTATTTTCTATTAATTTTGATAATGCTAGTAATAATGATCCAACAGTAAATATTTTAAAATCTTAATTAAAACCATGTTTAAATGGTAAATTAATTTATATCAGATGTGACATGCACATCTTAAATTTATATATTCATGATGCTTTAAATATTATTTCTACTCATATTTTTAAAATTAGAAATCGTATTATATATATTAAAAGTTATGGAGCAGAAAAACAATAATTTAAATATTTATGTCAAGATTATGGTTTAAAATATAAACATTTTATATTAGATGTTAAACATAAATGGATTTCTACCTATGCTACTTTAGAAAGTTGTATTTATCACAAACAAATTCTTAGTGATTTTTATAATGCAAAAATGCCTATTGATATTATATTTGAGGAATATCAGGAAATGGGAAATTGTAGAAGAGATTTTTTTAAACATTTTTATGATGCAACTAATGAATTATTGGGTATTTATTATCCAACTATTTGTAATTTATCTTATCAATTAATGATGATTAGTGATTGTTTTGCAAAATATAGAAAGAATTCAGAATTTAAAAGTATTATTGAAATAATGAAAAATAAATTTAAAAAGTATGGTTTATATATTTTACTCGAAACATATTGTGAAAATATGAATATTGAATTTGGAAATAAAAAAGAATAAATTAATATTTTATTATTTGAAATGTATAGTTTATATGAATCTGAAATAGCAGGGAGTAATAAAAATTCTACAACTTGTATAGTTACATCTTCGACTTCTGAACTTGAGTCTAGTAGTGGAAGAGAAAAACTTTTTTATTTAATAAGTAATATGTAGAAATCCGTTGTCTCAACAACAAGTTCATTTACTAAACTTATTTTTTATTTACAAGCAAATCTTTCTACTTTAGGTGATTCTTCCTTCACCTCGGAGGAAATAAATAATTTTGATATTTTAGCATGGTGGAGTGAACATGCAAAAAATTATCAAATTCTCGCGCGCCATGGCACATGATCTACTAACCCCTTCGGTGTCTAAAGTTCCATCGGAGTATTGTTTTAGTGCAGGTACTAGAATGTTGGACAACAAAAAAAACTGCATGAATGATGAAAGTATAGAAATGTGCATCTGCTTTAAAGATTGGTTTGATGCTAAATATAGATTATAAGACAAAGGCATGACACTACACTTGATGTTTCACCTGAAACAGATGATCAAAGTCAAGAACAATAGGAGAAAGTGATGAATTCAATATTTTTTGTATACTCAATAATTGTATAGCATTTTTTTAAATTATTGTAAATTTTGTTTTAATTTTATTTTATATTTTTTAATAGCGTAATTTTTTATTTTCAATTTGTAACTATATTGTATTTCTTATATTTTATTAATTTTTCCATTTCCCAATTTTCATATTTCATTCATAAAACCATTGTATGCTTTGTATCATTCAAATTTAAATGAAATAAAATTCCTATTTTCTTTCAATTTGTTATTCACTTTGAGTCTTTGTCTCCGTGACCTCTTATTTTGTTAAGTTTTTTTTTTTTCATTTATTTGTTAGATTTCTTATTTTTTCAAATAGTTCCCAAAGGAAAGTTAAATATTTTAGTTTTACTTAGCAAAAAAATAAAAAGTTAAAAAATGTAAAAAAAAAATAGTTTGGCTCAGTTCGGCACAGGGCCCAGCCCAACACGACCTATAGCCTACGGCACAGCATGGGCCCACACGGGCTTGGGTCGTGGCTGTGCCAGGCCGACCCCTCAAATTATCCATGGGGAGGGCGACACGACCCAAGATGACCTGCACTTTGTGCGGGTCGTAGGCGGGCCATTCCAGCATGGCACGACTCATTTTACACCTCTAGTTACGAGAAAAAGTTAAATAAATGCCCAACACAATTTTTAATAAGACAAATTCGTTTTGAAAATTTGAAGAATTAGCAATGGAAAAATAGACATTTGGATAATTTAGTGAAATATAGCTCTAGTAGGGGGGAGGTTAGTCCATTTTAAAAAGAGAGGGGAGGTTTTAGTATTTATGTGGAGGTTTAAGTCATTTACCCTAATATATATTACATATAATTTAATGTCATATTACATTATATCATTAATATATATATATTATAATATTATCGGGCATGCTCATTTGAGAAAACACAAACCTAACCCAAAAAATTAAATCCTAGCGTTCAGATCTCGCTCCCGAGCTACTCATTCTCAAGTCTACTTGGAAAACACTTACCCTAAGGGGTGGCAATTTATACCTTAACCGGTGGGTATCCACCCCAATGGGGCGGGTTATTTTCTTGAATGATAGGTTTAGGGATTCTATAACCTGCACGAGTACGGATAGGATATGGTATTAGGCCTAGCCCAACCCTCCCCAACTTGCATATTATTGAAAAGCATATAAACTTTACATATTAAGGTGGTGTTTGATAAATCTGAAAATTCAGATATGAAAAGTTAAAAAGATATTAAACAGTCTTAAATATGAAAAGATGCATAGATGCTTTTCTACTTTTTAGAGGATCTGAATCCATAAGTTTGTTTGTGTTGGATCAACCCTTTACCATATGAAATTTACTGATTTTACTATTTTACCCCTAAAACATACTATTTGGAAATGTTGAGTTCAATTTGCATTATCTCATAAAAATAAATTTCAACCTCAAAATAATTTTGAAACAATACAAATAAAAAATAAAAAATTAATATTTACTAATTAATAAATAAAACAATTAAAATAAAAAATAATGACTATAAAAATATTAAAATAATTAATAATTAATAAATAATAAATAGCACAAATAAATATAATAAAAAATAATTAAATGTTTAATAAAAAATATTAAAATAATTAATAATCAATAAAAATATTTTATAATTAACAATTAATAAATAACACAAATAAATTTAATAAAAATATAAAAATAATTAATAAAAATAATTTATAATTAATAAAATAAAACTATTATTATTATTGTTATTATTATTCACCGAACCACTACTGCTGCATGTTGCAGTGGTGGTGGAAAGACAGGGGATAGAGAGAGAGATAGAGAGAGAGACATAAAATCTGAACCCAAATTGATCGATCTACACCTCTGAAAAGACAAAGACACCTACAGTTTTTGGTGATCAATTGGAGTAACAGAGATAAGGGTAACATAATATAGATGAACATTGCGAAAGCCCTCTCAGTAGAAGCCTTGCGATCCCATCGATGAAGCCATCTGTGTTCACATAATATAAATGAACACATATCGTTTATGGTGATCTCACCGTAAGGACTGAAAGCCCTCTCGAGGGATTGGTTGTCGGTAACCCGCCTCCAAGAGCACGATAAAACCCTCAATCCCCCGAGAGAGAGAGAGCAAATGAGTCGTGCGCGAGAAGACAAGGGTAGTGCGTGTCATTTCCAAAATATTGTAAGGATATTTTGGACTATGCACCGGCTATGAAACACGTCTGAACACGTTAAGAGCCGGCCCAAGGTCTATTAATTTTAGATATGTAAATCAGATTCAAACCCAGTTTAAAGAGGTAAAACCAAACAAGGGGTGAGGTCTGAAAAGTAGCAATTTCAGATTTAAACCTCTGAAAAGTGTAATCAAATGACCCATAAGTATTGAGTTTAATAATATTTTGAATTTTATATAAAATAGTTTATGTATTTTTTACATGTTTAATCAAATAATTGGAAATTTTGTTTTTTATTTGTGTTATTTTACATATTTTTTTACTTATATATAACAAGAAATAGTAGAAAATTAAATACAAATTGCAAATCCAATTTGCCCTATAAGGTCGGAAAGGGTTTTACATTTCGTGTACGGGGAAAGTTTGGATTATCCAACCCACTACGGATTTTGAAATGGTTATGAGCTGAGAGGTTTAAGAGGCGGGGTAGGGACGTATGGTCTAAAATATACCAAACCTTGTTTGAATCCGTCCCATTTCCATCCATTTACTCTACTCGTATAAATCATGTAGGGTAAGTGATTTACAAAGGGGAGAGTACGGGATAGTAGAGGTGGATTCGAGCCAAGTCGAGCCGAATAATATGAGGCTCGAGCTCAGTTTGAGCTAGAACCTTGAGCTCGAGCTCGACTCAAGTAAAAAACTCGTAAGCTCAAGCTTAATTTGAAAAGAAAATGCTTTATAAAAATAAAAGATTATATATAAAAAATATTTTTTATTTAATATTTAAAAAATTAAGAATTATAATAATTAATTATTATTATATATAAAATAAAAATATTATATATATATATATATATATGAACTCATCTTGCGAATCTTAAAAGCCGTGTTCTATTAGGCTCAAACTCGGGTTGATTAATAAACGCGAGTTATATTGGGCTCGATCTCGGCTCAATTAATAAACGAGCCCGTAAAAGCCGACCTCGAGTAACTCGTAAAATTTCGGCTCGTGGCCACCCCTATGGGACAGAGAAGGCGTCCCTTTCCGGCTCCCTACTCTCTCCTTACGGTTCACACATCACAATTCACACAGACCACGGGTGACGGGTCATGCTCAAGGTCTTGCGGGGTAAAAGACTAAGAAAAGTAGGGGTATCTTAGGTATACCAAATGGAGAAGCCTTCAAAATCTAAAGTCTCAGTCCACTGTCTGACATAGTGTCATCCTCTTTCTTAACGGAGCAACGAAGCAAAGTACTCTCCACCGCCACCACCAGGCACCAGCATCGGCACGGCACCACCACGGCGTGGCAGCAAAATTAAGGACTCAAATCTTCTCTTCTTCCCTTTGTATGAAATTTACACCATGGACAGAAGTCTCTATTCCATCTTCCTCTCCTTTACGTTCCTATCTCTGTTTCTTCATTTCTCCTCTGCAGAGATAAAAAACCTGAAGATCAATGCTGACTCTCGCTCCATGATCCTTCTCGAGAAGTTCGGCTTCACCCACACTGGTCACGTCAACGTCTCCGTCAACGATGTCTCCTACTCGTCTTCTCTATCCCAACCCGACCCTTCTCGCCTCGGCTTCTTCCTCCTCTCCGAAGAGGCCCTCATCCAAGTCCTCCTGGAAGCCGAGCAGAACTCTAATTTCTGTGTCCTCGACAGCCACTATATCATCTCTCTCTTTACTTTCAAGGACCTCTTACCGCCTAAGCACATCTCCTTCAACAATTCGTACCCAGTCACCGAACCTAATGAGTACAGTCTCTTCTTCTCTAACTGCGCACCGAAAAGCCAGGTGACCATGACAGTACGTACCGAGATGTACAACGTCGACAACGGCGTCAAAGACTACCTCCCCGCAGGTCAGACCCAACTTCCCATGCTTTATTTCTTGTTCTCGCTGTCCTACTTAGCCTTCTTAGGGTTTTGGATCTACTTCTGCTACACGAATCGTCTCTCTGCTCACCGGATCCATCTATTGATGGCTGGTTTGCTCCTAATGAAAGCCCTGAATTTGATCTGCGCTGCTGAGGATAAGCATTATATCAAGGTCACTGGGACTCCTCACGGTTGGGATGTTCTGTTCTATTTGTTCCAGTTTCTTAGGGTTGTCTTACTTTTCACGGTCATAGTCTTGATCGGGACAGGGTGGTCGTTCTTGAAGCCGTTCTTACAAGAAAGAGAGAAGAAGGTCTTGATGATTGTGATCCCACTTCAGGTTCTTGCCAATTTGGCTTCTATTGTGATTGAGGAGACGGGGCCTTTTATTAAAGATTGGGTAACTTGGAATCAAGTGTTTTTGTTGGTTGATATCATCTGTTGTTGCGCAATTATCTTCCCAATTGTGTGGTCGATCAGGTCACTGAGGGAGACCTCTAAGACAGATGGGAAGGCTGCAAAGAATTTGGCCAAGTTGACACTTTTCCGGCAGTTTTATATGGTTGTAATTGGATATTTATATTTCACGAGAATTGTTGTGTTTGCACTCAGAACAATTGCTGCTTACAAGTACCAATGGGTAAGCAATGCGGCTGAGGAGATTGCAAGTCTTGTTTTTTACTTGGTAATGTTTTATATGTTTCGGCCAGTTAAAAGGAATGAATACTTCGTTCTCAATGAGGAAGAAGAAGAAGCCGCAGAGGCTGCTCTTAGGGACGAAGAATTTGAGCTCTGAAGTGGGGTTTGAACTTTTGATCCGTGGGGAGGATTTCGTGGTCCGTCGTTTATCTTTTACTCCTCTCACTATAACATTTTGAGAATTCACCGACAGATTTATGAGTAGATTTGTTGGGTGCTGCTGCTCCCATTTAGTCTCCTTTTTCCTGTAATAAGAACAATACCTTTTCAAGTTTTGTGGTCTGGCTTGACTCTTGAGGCTATAGGAATTTCGGATGTAATTGATAGGTGTGCTACTGAAGTACAAAGTAAGTATTTGCATTTTACTCTTATATTGCTTCTCATTTTCCTAACATCTGGGTTATGTGCCAATTGAAGGAACTGTTCTTCTCTCTAAAATTATCATTAGTTTTTTTCTCCTTAATTGTTTCTTTTTGGTAATAGCTGGTCCCTTCTGAACATATAGTTTGTAAGACAAATATGGTTTGGAAGCAGCTTTCTCTGGAAATTTCTCTAGCATGTTTCCTTTTCATTCATTTTCCTATCCTATCCTTCAACCTTTTTTTTTTTTGGAAAAATGCCAATTTATATGTAATATCTGATCACTGACTTAATATTCCATCTACTTAAAGTGATTTTTTTTGGTCTGATGTACAATCTTTTATCTGTTCCTTATCTAGAGTATCATGTGGAACCAGATCCTTTTTTCGACCCTCTCCTACTTGCCATCCTGGATATGGGGTTGGATCAGTTTGGATGGTTGATAGGAAACTATATTATTCAATTAAGAGATTTGTATCTGTCTGGGGATTGAGAACGATACCATTAATCATGGGAGATGGTATTTTTTTAGTGTAAGTTAAAGCATCTTAAAACATGTTATCTGTGTGGGAATCTCCCTTGAAACAAAACTATGGTTTTTATCAGAGTAACCTTTTGTTGATAAGAGGTTTGGTGCATTGGGGCTCTTGATATTGACAGTTCTGTTATTACTGTTTCAGGAGATAGGAACTTCTAGAGGAATTTCTGTACCCAGAAAAAATGTTCTTTTTCCATATAATATCTAGTGTTGTCAACTAATGGTTTTATTGACATTGGATGCCATGTAGGTCTAGGAGATATACCAATCCCAATAGATTGGTTGATTCATTCCATGGGTTGGATCTTTCATCTTTGGAGGAATTTTTGGAAATATCATATGCTCAATGAAGGCTTGATATTTTCATACAGTAACAAGGTTATAATTTTACGTTATCCTCTTCCTCACATGGAGATTTAAAGCCATTATTTTGACCTTCTTTGGTGACTTCTCACAAGGTTCTCAATCTTCATGTGTCCTAATTGTGGTTTAAGTAGCTCAGGATGACATCTTTTTTTTTTTTTTGGGGGGGGGGGGGTTGATGCAGGGGCCAAAGGCTGAGGAAAGGAACACCATCTTTACCCAATAATAGAATGAAGAAGCCATCCTTGTTCTAGGGCATTATGTCCTTCTAGTGGCTCTAATGATGGATCGGACAAGATCAAGCCCAACAGTCCAATATCCACAAAATAGATCTCATTCTAGCAAGCCTGGGAAATTGGTTGCCAATTTAATTTAGATCCTTAAGGTTTGTTAGATAGTTGGGTTTTCTAAGATCTTTTTCTAGCAAGTTTTCTCCTTTTAGTTTCATTCTTTAGGGAAATCAAATAAATATACTGTATATCTCAAAAGAGATATTTTTCAGGTTAAAAACCCTTAAATATAACCTAGGGTTTCTGACAGGACTTAAACATACCTTGTCCCTGTTATGATAAACGGAAATGATAAAAAAAATGTTTTGCCCCCTTTGTTGTAGAACATGATCTCTCCATTCGTCTGCAACATATTACCACTGTAGAATGTAGATGTTAATGTCGGTCATTCACTCTTCCCCTCTTGCTTCTCCATTGGCATATCTCCACAACTTTGGAAAAATACTCAAAGAAGTGCCCTAATATCTCTCTTCATCCTCATCTTTGGTACCATTGTGCCTGTGAGTCAAACCCAAAATTTTCTATGCCTTCCATCAGCATGACTTCTTGGAGCCTTTCCTGTCACCACCATGGTTCAAAGTATCAGTACTTTCGATATGCATTTTTTATTTTTTGTATATCAAGAGTTCAGCCGATGAAAAGTATTATTATTTTTTAATATTTCAATTTGATGTTTTGACAGTGGCCCTGTCACATCATTTTTTAACATTTTAAAAGTTTAACATACCAGAACTCCCATTAAAACCCGTATTGGTAACTCAAAGATAAAATACAATACACCTGATATGGGGCATATCATATCAATACCTTGCACAACAGAAGTGGCATCTCAGAAAGCTGATTCAAAGCTCTCGGAGCAATCATCTCTGTGGGAATGAATTTTAATAATCAATAGCAGCAGGAGATCTTGGACTCTGCAATGAGAAACCTATGAGCTCTCCTAACCAGGGATTATCTGTAAAGCACCTTTCAGCTTCTTGAGGTCTTCTGTTGCTCTGAACAGAAAAAAATCCCAAGGTCAGGGAGAGAGAGATTCCATTTATATGTGCAGGCTTGTGTCAGATTCTGTTACAATTCTTGTATCAATCATGCAATAAGTATTGCAGCAATTATAGTTCACCATTTTTCTTTCTTCTCCACCTCCCCATTTTCAGAGACTTCTTGAGGTCATGTTCTCTGTTCTTATTCAAGCCTACTGTTTGTGACCCAAATCATATCAGAGAAAGTCCAACTTTTCCAGAAACTGGTATACTCTTATCTGGGTTTGGTGGGAAAATGTGATTTTTCCAAATCTGTTAATCACCTCTTAGCTTCTAACTGGAGATTATTCTCTGTAGAAGTGTAGAGCACCAAAGACCTCAAGTGCCATCCTCCAAATTGAGCTAGACTGGTCTTCCTTCACCTCTGCTATGAGGAAGAGTCAGAGCAATGTTCCCTAGTCTGAGCCAATCTAGTGGGGATTGTTTCATCCTCATTGATGGGGAATTCATGGGCTCTTCAATGGAGATCTGAGACCACCACTCTGTTCATTCTCTGGTTTAACCTTGAGAAATTTGGGTTCACAGTTTTGGAAGGAAGCAAGAGAAAGGGCAAAATAGGGTTTTTAAAATATTAAACTAATCGTGTGACATCACATGCCAATGGCATGTAACATTTCACTAACAGAGGGTGTGTTTTAAGACCAGTGATGCCACCCAACAAGGTATGCTTTAGTCCATTTAGAACCTCAGGGTATGTTAAAAGTCAATTTCTGAAACCTCTGGATGTGTTCAAGGATTATACCCTATTTTTCATCCTCTATATAAACCAATGTAAACACTCTTTTAAGCATTTAATTGAGTGAACGAATTAAGAGTTTTCTCTGCTGATGTGTTTGGAGCTTACTCCCAACTTATAGAGGCATTGACTAGTTGACTCATAGAAAAACCTTCTTGTGCTAGGGCAACACGACAAGGACCTATTTTTAGTTCATTCTCTTTCTTCATTGCTGAATCATTCATCCACCTTTATTTCCTATCTAAATATTTCATTATGTTCTTCCTTTATATATATTTTTTTCGTGTTATTATTTATTAATTTAATTTTTTGTCACTAAACAGTGTAGTCCAGACCTGTTCCCTTTTTGTTTTCTTAATTATTGAGCAACTTTATCTTCTGCCTGGCTTTTTTGTTGTGTATGCTTAGGTGGAATCCAAGTTTCATCCTCACAGAATTGATCCTTACACTGTCCTCACAACACTTCCAGTCGTGCATTATCTTCCCATGAATGAAAATATACAAGTAGATGTTCCCAATGCTTGTGAACCCTCAAGCAAGCAATCTGAGGACCTTGTGGCTTATTTCAACTTGATATAGATCTTATCAGCCCATATTTCCCCTTTATTTCATCCTTGTTCCTTAATTTTTACTCCTTTTAGACTGATTTGCTTATCACATCTACATCTGGAATGTTACAATTTCATCCTTAAAACCCCACGTTGAATCTAGAAAATGGCCCTTTTCCCCGTTAGGTATTCATAGAAACCTCAGTTTTGATTTGTACAGAGTTCTTTTAACCCAGATCAAAAAGTGAAGTTCTTCCGAAATTTTTAATTCCATTTGCGTCCTTTTTTGAACAATATCAATTAGTCATTTTCACATGCTGCCTGAACTTATTAGACTGTTTTTGGTAAACTGAACTCATTTGATTGAAGAGTATCTTCATCTAGTTAAATGTATTTTGGCAACTACTTGTTGGGCAATTTCTATGACGTTGGAAAGGTATGGTTTTAAAAAATCTTTGACCAATCAGAAACCCCCGTCAATTTTGATTGATCACCACTTCTATGATACCTGTTGATTGGTTATCAGTTCTTCAGGTATCATGCCTTTTCGGTATCTTTGTCCAATTGAATTTATCAGAGAACCTTTGTCTATCTGTGCACTGGGGTATTCTTTCTAGTCCCATGCAAGTGCAACTGTGCAAGTTCAACGACCTCAAATCCATTTCCCTTCTTTTTCTTCTACTAGCTCAAGATCTGACTCCGACGCTTATTTCTGTTTTTGGTGTTGCTTTGAACATCTGATGAATGGAAAAAAAGGCAGGATGATTTATATTTTTTTATCGGTAACGTTTCAATATTTTATTAAAAAGAGAATGGAGTACAATTTGAATTGTGCCAAGCACTCCTAGATCTAGGTATTGACAGGTTTATAAATAAGTAACAGAGAGTAGAAAAACATTTTATTACTAATCTTTTAAGCAACTGGTGGCCACAGGTGTGATTGATGATGTGCATTGTGGTGGTGTGGTGTGTTCCCAAGTTAAATTTGAAATGTATTGGCTCTCAAATGAAATGGATTGAATCAGTTGTATTGAACTTTTGAAGGCAATAAAGTGTGGTTTGTTTGTTTTGATAAACGAGAAATAATCATTTTTAGGGTGTGTTCAGTTCATGATTGTGTTCATGTTTTATTGTTTTATATGGTTTGCGTTCTTTACAAATATTATATTATTCGTATGATGGTTTCAGAACTAGCTAAATGGCCTTCCAGCGAATACAACTTTTTATAGCTTTTTCAACCAAAGAAGCATGGCTTGCTTATGAAACATAACATGGTAGACTGGTAATTACATGGTGTCTCTCACACACCAATATGGTTTTTAGCCATAATGTTTTAGACACACCAAATGGTTTGATGACGACGATCAAAATTAGACAGTGCAAGTACAAATAGATCAAAATTAGACAATCAATGCTCATATACCATGGTTTAAAAAATTTATCAAGAACAAAACATCCTCTTTGGAACCATAAAACCAAACACCACCTTAAAAAGTCGTGATATTTTGTGTTCTGGAACCAAGAATTGCCGACACACCATGCTCTAAACCCCCGGCGCCAAAAGGTTAAGCCCTGTTCACTTTTTTGGTAGGTTACTATTTTGGGGTGTTCTTTTTTTGGATTTTGAGTGGGGGGAAGTTGGTCGATGGGATTTTGGTTTCCATTGATCAAGAATCCCATATTCATTTTTTAGATTTATGTGGGGATCAAGGAAAGTTTATTTCACTGGTACCCATCTCCAAGGTGGGTAAATATCTTTTCCATCGAGGGAGAAAGTTGCTAATACTTGAATGAGACACAAATGTCTCTTTCAATAATGGATTTTTATGGCTAAAATGGTCATTACCTTATTTACCTAGGAAATAAAAGAACATAGGTAAATATACTTACCTGGATAAGTGTTTCTCAAGAAAAACTTACCCAATTAATTGCATTTACCCACGTAAGTAACTTACCGAAAAGTGAATGAGGCCTTTACGTTTTTTTATTTTCCGAGTAAATAAGATAATAGCCGTTTTAGTCATAAAAAGATATTATTAAGAGAGGTAATTTTGTCATATTCAAGTGGTTGCAACTTTCTCCCTAGGTGGGAAAATTACTACCCACTTGGAAGACAGGTATCACATACTTGGGTAAGTGAGATCTCACATAAATCTGATAAAAGAACATGAGTTTCTTGATCAATAGAAACCAAGATCCTATTAACCAATTTTTCCTTCTCTCAACATCCCAAAAAAGAATAAACCCCAAGCCCCTAACCCTAAGTAAGAAAAAAACGTTGTCAATTGGGCAAAACCTCCATACAATGAGTTAAAGAGGTTGGGTGTGGAACTGACGTATGACATATCTAAGCCAACCTGGCTCAACCCAACCCGGCCTATGCATCCATTGAAGAATCAGCACCTCACTGGCGGGGACCAGGACTAGACCCCCAAAATGGAGTCTTGTTAGACATCATGAAAATAGACTTGTAAATTTTACCTACATGAGACGAGAGAAATTGAAAAATCTGAACCGAAAAAAGGCGACATGCTGACTGTCCAAATACCCAATCAGGTCCGCATCTGACAATATTGCTGAGAAGTGAGAACTGAGTGGCATATAAGCGAATTTGCAGTTTGCACAAGCATAAGCCAAGGCTGCGGAGAAGGTCATCGAGGCCTTGAAGGATGAAAACTTACAATTTCCCCTTGGCAGAACCCTCTTGTTTTCACACTAATTCAGTCCTGTCCTGGACAGACGACGGTTGGTGTGATACTTCTTCAAACTGAACTTAAAGATTTATTTCCTTTTCGCAGTTAAAGATTCAGTATTCACATGGGCATTTTAACTGCAAAAAGAAAATAAAAAAACTTAAAATAAGAAATGCCAAAGCCATAAACAAATAAAAATGTAAGAATAGATTGTGAATAAAACATGAAAAGTAAGTTGTAGGGTTGCAAAAGCATAGAATTTGAAGGGGTGAACATCGATGGTGAATTTGTTAAGTTCATCAACACACAACTGTCCCCTCTCTCTCTAACCACCCACAACATTAATGACCCTGACAAAGAGTCCATTCCACTGCCATGTTCAATGGATCAACCGATAAAGGACCGAAAAAACCAGGAACCGGTCACCTCCATTTTCCTTTAAAACTGTTTTTTTCCTCAAAATCGTTGATTTTGATCAATAAATTGCATAACCGGCTGGTTAATCGTTCGAACGGTTTTGACCGTTTTCCAAAATTTTAAATTTTTGTCAGAATGGGCCGGTCGTTCGGGTCGAACGGTCGGACCGTTCGAACCGGTAACCGGACCCATGACCGGTTCGTTTCTAAAAACCATGGTTCAATCGACTCACCTACTACATGAATTGAGAAACAGGAAACCGAGAGAGAGAAGGTACTCAGGTAAGTAGGTAACGACATTCAAAGAACTCGTCAAAGCCCCTTCCTATAAGCTATAATGGTTACGCAATCTAAACCAAACCATCTTAATGAAGCTTGCATCAGCTGAGATCATCTCTGACGACGGAAATGCTTATACAGCATTATTAATTGTATTTAGTTACACGGCAATCTGTATTTCTCCTTCAAAATTCAAGCACGTGGCTACCCTCCCATCCTCTCAAAAAAGAGTGAACAAATTTTACGTCAAAATCAAAAATAAAAATGGTAGCTACCTTCCAACGACTGTTGTTGCTGGTGGTAGCTAGCTTCTAACAAGTAAAAATGGTAAAGCCACGTCCCGAAGCTATTAAAACTAAAAGACCATACATACAATTGAAACCGGATTTATATTTTATGGGAAGGTTTTGGTGCGACTGATCGATGGCACCTCGGCTCTTGTTGTTAACAAACCAATTACCTCTAGTCTTGTTCTCAAACCTTCTCTTCTCTCTCCATCTCTTCATTCAACCATGGCAATGCAGAGCCACCATGCACATGACCAGACCCACTACTCTTACCGGCTTGAGCGTCCAAGGCTTCGTCTACCCTCCGTTCGTGAAACCACCTGGTTCTTCCAACACTCTCTTCCTTGGAGGGGCAGGTAGTTTAATATATTAATTTGCTCTGATAAAGAAACAAACTCTTATTCTCTCACTAAGTAGTACTCTGACTTCATCTTCATCTTGTCCCTCCTCCACTCGCATATCCCACTTTGTTGTTAAGTTATAACTAACCTTAATTAGTTATGTAGGTGTGAGGGGAATGATCATAAACGGCACATTTGTGAAGTTCACCGTCACCGGCATCTACTTGGGAAAAGAAGCCGTTCCCTTTCTCTCCGTCAAGTGGAAAGGGAAACCAGCCAACAAGTTACTAAGCTCAGTCAAGTTTTTCCAGGATATCGCTACTGGTATGTATCGGGTCCGGGTTCGAGGGGTGGCTACCTTTAGTTGGTGTAATTGTTTCGATCGGTTCCCATTTTTTGATGGAAAATAAATCCATCTCACGACAGGGCCATTTGACAAGTTCACAAGGGTGGTTCTGATTGTGACGCTGAGCGGCCAAGAATTCGTTAGGAAGGTGGCGGAGAACTGCGTCAATATAATGAAGGCCAATGGAAAATATGGTCCAAAAGAGGAGGCTGCAGTACACAAGTTCAAGGAGGCCTTTAAGGGACGAAATTGTCCTTCGGGATCATCCATTCTCATAACACACACCGCCTCAGGATCTGCAACGGTATCTGCTTTGATTTGATTTATTTTATTGAGCTTAATTGATAGAGATTGTTTTTTCCTTTTTGATATAAATTGAAAGCTTGTGTTAAATTTGTCATTTGTGGGTGTGGAGGTGGCGTTCTCGAATGGGAGCTTCATACCAGTGAAGGGAGCGGCAGTGATCAAGAACAAGGCCCTCGGGGAAGCCTACCTGTTATCCGTAATCGGCCGACAAGGGGTGTCGCCTGCCACGAAGCGATCCTTGGCTCGGCGGCTATCGAACATGTTGAGAAGCTAATTAGGATGCTCCATTGATGCCACTGCCATCGTATTATTGTTATTATTATTATTGAAATAAAAAATCGAAGGATGGAAATTGAAAAGATTCAGATTACTATACCTATGTATTCGTATTCCATTTCTTTCTTCCTCTTCCTTATCTGTGTATTTGCGAGTATGTTATAAGTTTACCTTCAGAACCACTGTGATTAGTCATAGCTCTTTTCAAACTTGGAATTGGTGAGTGCTGACCATCCGATTGAGACCATTAGTTGGTAAAATTAAGAAAAAAAATTGTTTTGATTTGAATGGATTTTTTGTTTTTTTTTTTAATTTCCAATTATTTTGGTTTTTTATTTTTTACTCTAAAGAGCTTCACAATAATGGGGTCATTCATCCCAAACCTAGGTGCAAGCAGAATTTAATCTCAAGCCTCTGATAACCAGAAGAGACCTTACCAACAAGTCGGCACCAAGATAAGAGCTTATGCTTATCTTCGCACTTTAAATCAAGGAGGCAAGCGTTCAGCTTCAGTGCACTCCGGACTCCACTGACGGAGACGAAGTCACATCTGCTCCTAATGCGCCCCCAAAACGTTTCACAGCACATTCCAAACATGTATTGTGAATATCTGACAAGAACGGGAATGTTCTCAATACACGTTGAAATGTGCATGTAAATCGTGATGTGAACTCCGGACACGTTCAACTTCATCACTTACGAAGTTTCAACATAGGCTGGAATCCTATAGTTATGGGTTTCACATGGTCTACCGTCCACCAATTAAACGGGTGCTGTAATTTTTGGGACTGAATATCTAAAACCTAACTACCAGGTGGGATAAAAGATCCCTGAGAGAGAACTCATGAAGCATGAATACGAGCATTATAATATATTATAGAACAAAATGTGGAAAGAGGAAAGTTTCAAAAGTTGAAAATTGAACGGACAATGAAGAAAAAACCTAACATAGTAATAATAAATCCTTTACCTTTGATAGGTTAATCCATTAACGTATGAATATTGGACTCTTCATACATTAAGGCTGCGTTTGAAAATGATGCAAATGGAGTGTAAATATCAATTCAGGGTAAATTTGCACTCTAATTCACTTTGGTATGTGTTTGACAACATTACATTTATGCATTGACAAATGATAGACCAATGCATATTTACATTGATAATAAGATGTAAAAGTACATCAATAAAAAGAAATAAATTTGCATCAAAATAAGCTTTTGAAAAAAAAAAGCATATGATTTATTAGAATTCATGTTTGCATCCATTACAGCTAAAAGTCTGTTTGATAAGAAGGTAAATTTATTAGTACAAAACTAACCCAATTTTACAATTTATATGAACCATTTTACACTCTACATATTTGCATTTACACTTATTTGCATTGTTTCCGGATGCAGCCTAAATAGTTATTTGTTTTACTTTTTGACCAATCACAACCCCATGAATTTTGATGAAAGCCCAACTGATACCACTTTTATGGTACGTTATAAGTTTTTCCGGTATCATAGTTGAACCGCTAACATATAGATACAAGTCTGTCTCACCAATAAAAGATGGTTTGTATGCAAAGCAAGACTTGAACTAAGAATTATCAGTCGAATAAAGATGCATGATCGAATATCAATTTCAGCATTACCAAAAAAAAAAAAAAGATCCACTTGCACACAGTTTAATCATATAACCTACAACAAGTTGCATCAAACCAAAATATAAAAGACCCACTGTAAAGGGAGATCAGGGGCAAGGGAGCATTTAAAACAAAGGATTGGGGCCGACAATACAATACCCACATTTCTTGGCTAATTCAATGAGGGCTAACTCATTGAATTAGCATTTAGACCTAAAATTATAAGTAAATTGAAACATGCTGTTAATCGATGGTGCATCTTAAGGGGAGCCCTTCCAGAGCATCCATAAATGCATATTCCTTTTTTTTTTTTTCTTGCTGGTGCTTCTTAAATTTAATCGCCAACCCCATTTGTCACCCAAATTATTTTAGCCATGAAAGTAAACCAACATTGAAGGCTTTGAATCTATGCAGGGTGCACATTGAGGATGGGAAGTAAGACAACTACACAGGCAAATTACAGCCCGAATAACAGGAAAGATGCAACAATTGGCTACAACTGCCAAATGAAACAATAACTGAGTTAATTTACATGGGAATATGAGCCCCATGGGCTGAAACTTTACATAAAAAAATGCTTTCTTAACGTTGAGGTGGTGCCGGTCTCTTCTCCACCATGTCATAATGTAGAACAAAGTTATCCTGCACCAAATCGTATTCATAGGAAAGATTAAAAGGTAAACAAAGCAAGTAAACTTGCTAATAAACCAGTGTGTGTGAGAGAGGCAGAGAGGAGAGAACCTTGCGTACTGTTTCCCACATGTTCGGATCAAAGCAAAGGTACGATCCCCTCTCATATGTGCCTGTCTTGACCAGTGGCTCCATGTTCGCAACCCTTATGAACCACAAACGATGTTCTCTGTGATAGAACCATCCTCTATTATGCCTGTTAACCAATGGGTGGCACACCCATAAATTTCATCAGCGCAACCAAACATAAATCCTGCTCATCCTGTCTGTTAAATCCATGAAAATTGTTTCTTAAAGAAAGGTAGGTGTAGGTCCAATTCTTCACAATCAAGAGCAGATAAAAAGGGTCAACTATAATAGCGGAAAGATATGATATCGGAAAACCTTATAACCAATCAATCACCAAAAAAAAACCTTGTAACCATTCAACTGGAATCATAAAAATGGTAACCAATCAGGTGATATTCACAAAAAATCACAGGGAGATTTTGATTGGTCAAAGCTCTTCCAGTATCACAGATTTACCCAAGAGAAGAGCATGAATATATCCCCAAAAGATTTACCAACAGAGACAAAAAACAATATATGAAAAGAGGCACTGAGGCAAGGATAGCGCCTAGTATTAAGCCAATAAGAGAGAAGATATGGTTATTGATTTGGAGCCCCTTGTAAAGTATTAGTCAAATACATGTGGCAAAAGAATACCATTAACTGCCACACCACCCACAATCTTCAGCACATGAAAATGAATTTAAACTTTTCCTTTGTTTACAAAATATTCTTGCATAATTAAACTCTATATTAACTCATTTAGTAGATTGCATCAATACCCTAAATTCAAAACATATCTTCTTTTATTGACCAGTCAGGGCCTAGGCACCAACTAGTCATCGCTTTACCACATTGATAACACCGACTCCAATGCAAAAATTATGCATGGACCCTGGATTAAGTTTATTAACATGAACCATCTTTCCCTCCCTTTCTATGGTTCTTGGAAGTTAACCTCTTAAATGCAGCATTGTCCAAATAACAAGTGACTAGATGCTCCTAGATCTACAATTTAGCAGAACTGATGAGTAGATTAGATGAGCAAAAAAACAGTCATCATAAACTCAAGAATCTTATTGGATGTGTAACTTGGGTTCTAATTCATGTTACCATCAATTCATTTTCTTGAAAAAAAAAATCAGTTGTTTGAATTATATGATTTACTATCAAATTGATTGGGACTTGGTTCTGTACCATGTATTTTTAATTATTAAACAGCTTCTGTTTAAACCCCTTGTTGCATGGTGCCAATGTGCCATGTTGCTTGGGTTTAAGTTTGCATGATGTATTATTGTTTACACCAAGTTTGATCAGAAATAAAAGATAAGTGATTTCCTCTAGGTTTGACTAGAAGTAATTTCAATCAAGGAGTTGCTAAAAGTTACATCTTTTAGCTGGTATCTTCCATGGTATTCTAGATAGTAGATACCTCTCTTATTATGGTTAGGTTGCAGAAGTGAGTTAGACAATGGCCTTAAAATCACAAGACAGGGCATAACAACCCTGTAACACCATGTATTTGCACAGAACTCTCCCTGTTTCCAATGGTCCTGTGATTTGAGGCCCTCCATGGTGCTCACTCCTTTCATGCTAGCACTGTTCTGTGAAGAAAAAGGGAATAGAATAGAAAAGAAAAATAATCAATCAAGAAAAGTCTTGATGAGGGGCGTACAGCTCATTAGCAGCATACAACTGGGCCTCGTCTTTCGGCATGCTGCGAATAGAAGCAAGAGATCCTGTATCATTTTACAGCTCTAGAAATTATTTGGAAACAACCAAAACACAAGATCCAAGAAAGTGAAGCACCTATAGAAGATATAGAACAATGTCTCCAACTGGAACTTTGAAAAGTAGCCTTGCTGCATCAATCAAACAGAGGTTGGGGTGAGAATGTAAGTGGCTAGCAGGAGCTTAGAGTAAACTCGAGTTCAGATTCAAACAACTCACATGTAGCACAGGAAGGTCTTTGACAAAGTAACATTCTGGTAAACTGTACTCTGGTTCTCCCTTTACAGGCTCATCAGACCATGGGGAGCCAAATGTTTTGTGCAGGTTATCTGTTGAGTTTAAACTTAGTCCAAGAGTTGTCAGATCAATACCAAGAGCAAGGGATGTCAGATCAGGATCACTCATCCTTATTACACTTAACAAGCCAAGCAAGCCAAATCGATCAGGGATGGCCTGGGCAGCTTGCATGGCCTTCATGCCCTGATCCCTATATGGCTGAGCCACAGCAGACATCTGTTGCAAGCGAAATTGGGATTGGTTTTGGTGCTGGTGGTACTGCTGAATAAGCTGGTCATAAGATCCTATACCAGAGACTGAATTTGGAGAATTTAGAGGTCTCAATCCAATGCTGGGTGGTCCACCGGTCTGTACCTGGATGAACAAAGGGAAACAAGAATCAGGAGGTTGGTCAATTTGAGATTCTTGGTAGTCTAAGATTAAACACAGTTACATGACCCCAAAACGCACACAAAAGCACCCCTGGAATCCCGGAGCCACACCTGTGAGTGATAAGTTGCATGAGAAGATGGGAACAAATCAGACCCATGTAAATGGAGCAGATCCTGATTGTTTCCCGGGGCAAAAGAGACCCCATTGTTACTAACTGATGTTGCATGTTGCTGTTGTTGTGGACGATGAGATGAATATGTTCCCCCTAGAGTGAATCCAGCAGACCTCCCCATCTGTACATAGAAGAGAAGTCAAGATCAAAAACAAGAGGCCTAGGTACTACTGTAAAAGAAATCAGGAAATCAATCTTCCATTAAGTGTTAAGACAGAAACTCACTGAAAAGTGCTGCGATTGCATCACAGACATAGCATTGTCATGAAGTTGTTCTTTTTGGTGCAAATCCATGGTATAGTCTGCACTACCACCTGCACATCAAGTAGTGTGATCAAAGCCAGAAGACTAAAACTGAGCCATGCAATCATTTGCAGTGCCAGTGGGGGTGAAATCATGTTTTCATGAGATATCTCCCCCCCCCCAAACCACCACCACCACCAGAGAGAGAGGGGGGTGGGGGTTGTAACGTGCATTGAACTTGTAGAAATCCTTTTTTCTTCCCCCTTCTATCCTTCTTTATCAGTTTTTCTATCCTTTATCTTCATGCACTATAATATTTATCAGGCAACATCAAATAACCATGCCAGTCAGGTTTAAAAAGCCATCACATAATAAACATGTCAAAGTGTAACATTCCATTTACTTCTCACGACCTAAAATCTCATCTATTGAAGGATGAGAATTTGCAGCAACAATTTAATTCAAATTAGAACAAACCAATCAGGTGATTAAGCATGGGGCTTCTGAGGTGATTGAGAGAAAAGTAACTATGAATTCATTCCAAGGGGAGGGGTATGTATATGAAGAATGTACAGAGTCTACAGACAAGGAGGCAAAAAAAAAAAAAACAAAAAGAAGCCACCCTGAATTAAATCAGCAGAGAATTGGCTCTATACAAAAAAAGCCCTATCTACCCCAGATTTAGAGATTTAGATAAAGCATCAGCCTTCAAAGTTTAAAACCCTAGAAATTCATCTGAAAGAGAAAGACAAAGAGGCCGCAATATCCCAAATCTCATGTAGAAAGTGAGCAAATCTCCAAGGGCTGAAACATTATTAGAGTCCCAGCTAATTTGGAGTCTCCTTCCACAATAAGAAAACTGATGGCTAGGGACTTGGCAATCCTGAGGCCACAGAAGAGAGCCCTAACCTCTGGTTCAGAAGCATCTGCAGTCCCAATTGGTCCACTAAAAGAACAGAACACACTCCCATCAGCCTTCGGAACTAGACCACCAATACCAGCTGGACCCCTGTGATTAGAAACAGCTCTGCCACTTCCATCAAACACCAAGATAAAAAAAGCTTCCTGTCTTGGAACTGGCATAGGAAAGGATGGGGAGTATAAAGTGAGGACTACAGCACTTCAACAAGATTTCTGTCAAAATCGCTTAAGTGTTAGCCCTTAAACTGATTACAAACCAGCAGCCAAGAAAATAGCAGAGATATTACTCTGCCTCTAAGTCCTTCCAAAGTTGAAGACTTGATATCAAAGATTCTTCTATTCCATTCCTCCCAGATACACCACATTACTGCATAGATAAGCATTTTCCAGAAAATAATGCCTCTTCAACCAACTTGCATGAGGCCATTGAAGAATAAAATCAATAACAGAATTCGGAGGACCCAGTGGAAGCTACATCCGTGGATGAGGTCCAAGAGAGATTGCCAAAGCTGACAAGCCACCTTACAGTTTATCATCAGAAGAGAAGTACTTTAGACATCCTTAAGAAAAGGTCATACTGGACCCTATCATAACACATGCTTTTTTATCAATAACAGAAACAGATTTATTCAATATTAAGAAAATAGTACAAGTGTAGAGAAAGAAAGGGGAAGGGATAAACTCTCTTAACCCCTCCCCAAATAAAAATTACAACACAGCCCAGAATAAACTATTTCTCCTCACCCCTTATTTAGCAAGTGTATTGGCAAAGGCATTTGAATCTCTTCTGACCCAATTACAATTCATGTCTATCCCTTGTAACAGATTCATGGCTTTCCTCTTCTCATAAATATAGAACCACCATCCAGCCTCCTCTTCTTTCTAGAGCCAGCTTATTACCAGCTTTGAATCACCTTTAATTAACAGCTTCCTAATATTCATCTCCTTTGCCTTTTGAAGCCCTTCCATAACTGCCATAATTTCAGCCCTTAAAGAGTCCCCAACTCCTATTGGGCCTGAGAAAAATGCAATGACAATTCCCTCTTCATTCTTGAGCACTCATCCAACGCCAGATGGGCCCCAGGTTGCCTTCACCTCTAGGGGATGGGGACCATAAAGGTCTGATCACCATGGCACCACCCTAAAGGGGGAAGAACTAACAATCTCTCTCCAGTTTCTCAGCATCTCAGCCCCAGAAACATCTTTGAATAGCTCTGACGATTTCACCCAGTGAACCATCTTGATGAAAATAGCTTCAGTAACAGCTTCTTTGCTTCATTCTTTACCAAGAAATATTCGCTGGTTCCTTTCTTCCCGAATCATCCAACACATCGCTGCCCTTGTGCACCTCCAAAGCAATCTTCCCCTCTTCTTTGGCCAACTTACGAAAGCATGAGAGAACAAGCTTTGTACATTAGGCGGAGAGTTTCACCTGCACCAAAACAAAGAAAAAGACCATTCCCAAATTGTAGAAGAATAAGGGCATGATATTAGTAAGTTATAGTAATTCTCACCATTAACTTTGCAGAGAGGGCACCAGTGGGGGGAGAGGCTTCAATTAGGAATTTTTCCTTGCAGCTCACAAGTAAGTATAATTCTTTCCAGATAGATTTCCTAACACAAACCACCCATGAATACTAGCCGAAGTTCTAGAGTCCCAACCATTTGCCACAAGCCAATGGATACTATCACCTTTGCCCAGAACTTATCTCTTTCCAATGCAATCTTCACAACCATTTTCCCAACAAAGCCATGTTCCTCTCTTGGATATTCCAAAGGCCTAATCCTCCATGTTTCTTGCTTCTACTCACCATATGATGATCCTTCTCCTCCCCTGGCTCCCATAAGAAATCCCTTATCAGTTTCTCTAAACTTCTGCTTACCCCAACTGGAATCTTAATTCTGACTAGTAGACAGGTAGTTTGGTCAGAGTAAATCTGATCAGGGTGATTCTTCCTCCTAAAGACAAATAACTACTCTTCCACAAGGCCAACCTCTTTATGAACTGTTCTACCAAAGGCCTTTGGGACACAAAACAACCCAAAATACCTACACTCTCAATGATTTCCCTTTCCTCCAAATTCACCCCCACCATCACCACACGTGCTTTCTTTGCAAGGCAAGTTGTGAAATCATGTGTCACCTGCTTATCTCTTGTCCTTTCATAAAGGGTATTCAGGAAGCACTTTTAGGTTTTAGATGGTCACACCCATTAGACTTGGATACCTTTCTTTGACCAACTTTTTCTATCCATATAAGAAAAGAGGGAAAAAAAGTTGGAGACGTAATTGAGCAGCCATTCTATGGATAATGTGGGAAGAAAGGAATGCCAGAATTTTCTTGGACAACCTCAGAGAGGCAGTTATAGGAATGATCAAAACAGAGTTATCCACAAGGTTGTCAATGGGTCAGGCAGGTCCAACAGACCTGAATCAATATGTCTCCCAATTATAATTGGGTTGGGATGGGTTTTGATTGTTCCAAACCAATGAAGATCTTAACCAACTATATCTATAACCATGTATATGCATATTGTATATTACAAAGATACCCCCAGTCTAATACATATTTTTATATATTTTTCTCATGGTATACTTGTAATATTATGTGATGAGTGGTCAAACCTAGCTTATTTATTACAGGAGGATTGTCCGCCTCAAGCTTGATGATGATGATGATGATGATGCTTGTCATATTATCACATTATGATGTTCAAATGTCTCAATTTAACAAATATGTAGGTTTATTGTCAAGTTACAGGTTAAAAAGCATAGCTATCAATTATGACCCAATAGTCCTGATTGCAGACCCTAACGGTCTGCTTTGGAACAGATACTGCACATTTACTTAGTGGGTCATGACTGGGTATATACACTAACCCTGACTCAACCCAACCACTGCCTCCATCATCATCATCCAAAGCCAAGTCCCAAATATATGGGGTCAGCCACATGAATACTGTTCAGCCTGCCCCTAGTTCTTCTAGCCCTTCGACTTGTAACAGTTCACTTCTTACTGGTGCTGTAGATGGTCTTCTCTACATGTGCCCAAACCAACTTAGTCTGCTTTAACTCATTTTACCACCTATTGGAGCAACTCCTAGGTTTCTACAAATAAGTTTTGCATTCATGGTATAAACAGATACTGTACCATATATAAATGCTGTATATCTTTGCGTTCTTTTAACATCAATAAATTTTGAAGTTACTGATCCAAAAGAGAAAAATAAGGATTGAAGTGGGAAAAAGCTCAAAAGAAAGTGTTCTATTGTTTTTTATAAAAAGTATGTTAAAAACAACTATTGTTAGTGGCTAGCCTCAGTTAGTCCCCTCATTTTATGCCTTATCCAATCATAGGGAGGAGCCCATTTCTTCTTTTGTGGCCCCTTCTAACTCTAGTAATGGTGTTGTTTGGGACTTGGGGTTCTGAAGGGGTCTTCGGGAGTCTGAAATTACAAGTGTTATTGGCTTGCTTCAAAACCTTGAAGGGGTATGCTTGGATGATTCAAGAAGGGATAGGAGGATATGGACTTTGTCCCCTTCTGGTTCCTTCTCTTGTGCCTCTGTTTTTTCTTCCCTTATTCAGCCAAGAGATAGTCAAGGTTTGTCCTTTCCAGCAAGGTTTTAAAAACTGACCCGGAAACGGAACCGTTCTGGCCACCGGTTTCTGGGTCAGCGGTTCGACCGTCCAGGTCAAACGGTTCAGACGGTTTGAGTAATTTAACAATGATATGTCATCTTACCCATTAGATTGGAATATTAGGGTAAGATGCATATAAATATAAAGAGAAAATAGAGATGGAATGATAGGTATTTGAGAAGTTGTCAGCTGAAAGAGTTTAGAAGAAGAAGAAGAAGAAGAAGAAGAAGAAGAAGAAGAAGGAAGAGGAGGGCTTGAAGGCTGCAGCGGCGACGGCGGCGGTGACTTACAGCGGCGATGGCGGCAATAGCGGCGGTGATGGTGAAAAACGGGAGTAGATCTGAGATTTCTCTGTTCAGATCTCATTCTCTCTCTCTCTCTCATAGATCTGTCATCTAGAGTCTAAAGACTCTAAACTTCTTCCCAGATCTCTAAATGTGAGATCTCTCTCACTGTCTCACACATCTCTCAGTAGATCTCAGATCTGAGATGTTCTTCCCTTTTCATTTTGTTGTTACAAGTTAATAAACCGCAAACCGTTCTCCGGATTGAATTGTTCAATGGTCAAACCGTCCAGGTCAATGGTTCGTTGACTAATTCAATGGTTTTTTACCAGAGACCGTGTTTGGGGTAAAACGGAACTGGTCGCCTGAACGGTTTCCGGTCCAAACGGTCCGACCATTCGGGTCAACGACGGTTCGAAAACATTGCTTTCCAATGAAAGAGGTTTGGAGCAAACCTATTCTTCCGCATAGGGTGGGTGGTTTTTGCTGGCAAGTTTATTTAGAGAGAATTAATGCTTGTGAATTAATGCAAAGGAAAAGACCTAATTGGTGTCTTTCCCCTCATTGGTGTTCTCTCTGTAAGGTTAATGGTGAGAATTGCTTTCACTTACTAATCTCTTGACCTCTTTCTTTCAATTTGGGAATGGTTCTTTTCTTTGTTTGGGTGCAGGTGGAACCCTCCATCAAACGTACAAAGTCCGTTCGCCTCTACTTTCTTCAGTTGGCCAAAGAAGAGGGGCAGAATATTATGGAAATGCACAAGAGCGGCAGTTTGTTGGACAATTTGGGAAGAAAGGAATCACAAAATCTTTCTTGATAAAGAAAGAAGCAGAGACACTATTATTGAAGCCATTTTCACTAGAGTTGTCCATTGGGTGAAGACAATGGATCTCTTCAAGAATATTGTTGTGGATGATTTATTGAGAAAATGGAGGGAGGTGGCTGGTCCTTCTCCTCTTAGGGAGGTTACTAGGCCTATTCTCCCCCCCCCCCCATCTAGAGGCTCCATCAAGCTTAACTTTGATGGTAACAGTGAAGGTAATCCGAGTCCATCTGGAATCAGAGGAGCCTTCAGAGATGAGGGAGGAAAAATAATTACGATTTATTCTGGACTGATTGGAATTGGTGAGTCTTTGAGAGCAGAGATTATGTTTGTGGTGGAAGGTGTTTAAAGGGCTAGGGAGATGAATGTTAGTAAGCTTGTCATTGTAGGTGGCTCAATTGAGTGGCTCCAAGGAGAAGAGGAGGGATAGTGGCCCTGTATCTTTGAAAAAAAGAAAAGTATTGCGATTGCTTCAGAGGATGGAGGTGAACTTCAAATGGGTGAGAAGGGATGCCAATATACTTGCTGACACTCTTGCTAAACAAGGGGGTGGTAAGGGATAGTTTGTTTTGGGCTATTTTGTAGAAGCTTCTTTCTTTGGGGAGGGCTAAGAGAGTTTGTCTCTCCCCTTGTTGTTTTTGTAACTTTTTCCCCTTCCTAATTAATGAAATTGGTTCTGTTATTGATAAAAAAAAAGCCTCAGCAAGTCCCCCAACTGATTTTCTCTTGCATATTATCACCTCGGGGGACCAAACCCCAATACAAAAGATTTCTGTTTCCCCCTTGTTTTAGTAGTCCATCAGCTATGTTGTTTGGGATTCATTGTTGAATTGTTGTTTGATGAGAAGGTTCATATGTTTGTCTCAGATGGGTCATCTTGTTCAACAAATATCTTTAGTTTTTATATCCATATCCCATCTAACCTGATCTGGGTTCCAAAATATTGCAACAGAATTCTATCCATTACCAGATAAATAAAATAAAAAAGTCACTAACAAACTACAGATACATATCAATATAAATAATATGAATAAACACCAAATCAATCATGAAAAGAAAAATAAGTTAATCATAAACCACTGACTGCCCATTATATGAGCCACTGTGAAAGTCAATTCCTTGCATAAAGTACAGCATTCATAATATGATAATTACTTAAGAAAAATGTATTGGATCATATCTAGGTCCCAAGAACAGATGATCACCTTTAAATCCAGGTAAAGCCGGAAAATCTTCATTTTGGATGCTAAATTCTTGGCTTTGTTGGACGATAGGACTAACACCAATGTTTTGCTTTCGGAGTGAACCTGCAAATCTGTGGGTCAAATGATGTCCCAGCAGCAACATTAAGCACTTGGGAAAAAAATATCTAAATAGGATCAGGTTAGCTCTTCAATTACCCAATTGCCCTTGTGGCCCTCCAGCAGAATTTGGCCGTCCAGTCAACTGAGGGAAATCATTTATATCAAAAGGAGAATTTTCATTAGAGTTTACATCATTTAACATTCCCATTGAACTTAAACTATTCCCTCCTTGAACTTGGCTTTGAGACAATGGACCTCCAGCACCAGGATAAGAATTACCTAGCATAGAAATCACCTGCGGTGATGCTGAACACGGTACATGTTATTTTTTTTTTTTGATAGAGAACAAAGACTTTTATTAATAGATATTAATAAAGAAAGATACAAAAGGAGGGGTAAAAACTCTTAACTCCCAAGAAAAACACATTACATGTTATTTAAGTGGCAAACAAAAACAACACTTAGATGATGCCAAATACAGTATGCTTTATTTGGTCTAGCAGATGAACAAGGGCCAGTCTTGTTGACAGAGGCAATACATCTTCAATTCTGACCACATATAGATTTTTAGCCTAATTACGCATACATAGTATACGTATATCTGTAGACAAAAATACAAACTAAGCTTGAATACAAGGATCGCAAAGAACCAGGGTAATAATTTAATTAAAGGTGACAAACTAACTAAAAGAAAAGTCCAAAACTAAAATAGTAAGAAAGGCTAATTAAAATGCAGAAACTTGAACTGTAAAGACTGCATAAAACAAGCATCTACAGAAGTAGTATTTTAATCCCCCAAAAAATAACTGCATAGGAGAGAGATTAATCTTTTTTGATAGCTTCTGATACTGCACTGATTTCACATGACACAACAAACCTGAGCTATGAATAAAGAGGTTAACCAATAATTTGATGAGTTGCCCTATGCACTCTATGCACATGATAGTGTGATATGAATCAAACCAATATGTTCCAATGATGGCATCAACAAGGAAAGCCATTTCTCCATGTTCTAATATAGGGGAAGAGTAGGGCCCTGGTTCCGCTAGGATCACTATCATGGAGTAGTCTTCCTCTTTATTTTAAAGTCTTGTAGTTGGTGGAGGTTCTAAGTCAGCAGCCAGATTTTCTGTCAGGTGATATCTTATCACCTTCCTTGAGTATTCTTCTTTTTAGTTTAATGAAATTTTATTTTACTTTTCAAAAAAAACAAGTTCTAATACGGTTTAGGCAGATGATTAGGCAATAAAATCTAGTCAGTGGTCGCTTTGTATTTTATACATCTCTTTCCCTAGGTTTGTTAAAGAAAGTAAAGAAATGAAAGTGCAGTTTCTGGCATCAGACAGCATAAAACAAACTAAAATCATCAGAATGTCTGCAACCAAATGATGCTGAATAAGCAGGATATAGCATGCCTGGGATCAATGAAATGGAATGCCAACATAATGTCCAAGGAAAACAATGTGGTTTAAGAAGCAGAAAATGATAGGAATAGAAACAAAAACTAGACAACTTAACAAGCACACCTTGCATCAATGTGGGAAAGACAAAGGTGAGAAGTGGGAATAGCCACTTGATATGATGGAGTTTTTTATGGGAAAACATGCAGGTTGGTGGTTTACCATTTGGCAAGAGCAGACAGGTTTTCTACCAAGATAAGCAATAGAAACTTTAACACATTTACCAGTTTGCTACCATCTTCAAATTAACATGATAGACCTGGATAAAAAGAGAGAGGCGCACAAAGAAAGACCACTGAAACATTTTATAAGGCAAATTGAAATGACCATCTTGGAGCAGCCTAATCATACTCTTCATATGTTGGATAATGCATTTGTGAAATTGAACTTATTCTTCCAATTTATGGAATTTTGTTGTAGAAAATCACATAATTAGAGCTACCTGTGAGGTCTTTGTCAAGTAACCAAAACTCCTAACAGCACTGCAGAATAAGGCATTGAGGTTCTCCACCCCCACTCCTTGATATAATTTTTTTTTTAGTCGGAACCAGAAATGTTATTAATTTATGGAAAAAAAAAGATAAGATACATGTGCCAAGTAGGGGTGATCATGAAAAAATGAAAAACTGAACCAATGAGACCGAACCGAAAATTCTGGTTGACCAAACCAATCAGTTCGGTATTTCAAAAAACCAAAGGTACCAGTTCGGTTTCAGTTAACCAATATAAAAAACCAGCAGTAAATCGAATCGATCGGTATACATATATATATAATATATTATTTGTAATATAATATTTTATATTTATTATATATAATATTATGGACAATCAAAAAACCAAAAAACCTATGAACCGAACCGATGATTAACCAAACCGATCAACCGGTTAACTGATTGGCTTCAGTTCGATTTCGGTTACCGGTACTACTGGTTTGGTTTAGAAAAAAGGCCCACAGTTCAGTTAACCAAACTGTGAGTGCCCCTAGTGCCAAGCACCACTTTGGTTTAGCAACTAACCAATGCTATTTAAAAATTATCAAAGTGCATTGATTAGTTCACCAAAAATTGTGCTTATAAGATCTGCTCCTACTAGTGTAGCATGAAAAGTTGCCTGCTTTTTTTGTCATATTGCATAAATTACAAACAACTGCAAGCAATTAGCTAAAAAATCCCAAATATTGATTGTTATAACTGCCACCCAGTATTCCCGGACACATAAATAATAAAAACATATTAATATAACCTCCATCTAAATTTTTCTTTTGATAGATAATATAACCTCCATCTAAATTTTTCTTTTGATAGATAATATAACCTCCATCTAAATGGTTTGAAACTCTAGTAATTGCCTATGCATAGAGAAAAAAATAAAGAACCTGCACAAGGGAACAGTATTGAACATATTTTATTATAGTGATAACTAAAGTTACTGGATGCAAATTCCATCAACTAGATTTAAACAAGAAAACAAGAGAAGGGCAAAGGCTCCAGTTAAATAATAAGTGTTCTAACATCTCATGATGTTAAAGCAAGTACCTGGTTGAAGTACGCCACTCATTAATCTGTTGGGCCCTTGCACACCCAGACTTCCAGACCCACTATTAGCAGTTAAGTTTAGGCGTGAAGCAAGACCAGGCACAGACAAACCCCCACCAGAACTTATGCTCCTTCCGATGTTGCCCCCACCAACAATGTTTCCCATTGAGCTTGTAATCCGAGGACCCGCATTTCCCAAAATTGGAGATACTCCCAACCCTGGAACAGCACTCCGGTTACCAATTGCAGAAGATGTTGGGGGAATCCCAGGAATAGAAGCACCAACGCCATTCATGCTACTACTAAATACAGGGCTTCCAACAACACTTATACCTCCTCTATTTGTGACTCCTGAATGCCCATGAGATATCTGAAATATCAAAAGGATAACAAAACCAAAGTAAAGAACAATTCATAACATTACAACCAATATCAGTAGATTAAATGTTAAGCAGCATTGAAAAAAATCAATCAAAACACCTGAGAAAGAGCAACAGGAAGATTGTTTGATGCAAATCTTCCACTAGAAAGGCTTCCTGTGGGTTGCTGGACACCACTTGCAGGAACACCATTCATTGTTGAATTCCTTGATGTAAGTGATCCTGGCATGTTGGGAACATTGAAACTCCCATGAATGCTATGCAGCCCTTGTATGGTACCTACATGTATTGACAAAACACTTTTGCAATTATTCACCGCACAGTAAACCAGTGATAATTAAAAGGTTGAAACTTGAAACTTGAAAGACTAATCAAAATCCTCCCACCAGTGTGATGATAAACAGGAGATGCTGCAGCAGACTGAGCAGAAAAAGATGTTGCAAAAGATCGGCCTGTAGAGTCAGGAATATTTGAAGTGGACCCGTTGAGAGATTGCTGCAATCAGAAGTTTCACACATTTTACATGAATAGCTAAAAGATGCACTGTGAGGATATATAAGACTCTGGCAACAGGGAGCAGGGAAGACATAAAGAAGTTTTTTCTGTTATTACAGGAACAGAGTTTTCAAAGCAAGCATTTTAGATATTGATAAAAAAAAATCAAGCATCTTAGATACCAAAAGAGACACAAGCAATGAATGGCATAATTTGGAGACAGGCTAAGCTGCTAATGTGTCCAGCCATTTTGAAGAAAGCTAGAAGAGAATTGAGAAAATGAACATGTTATCATGCTTGTCAACCCAAGATTTTACCATTACACCAAGTAATGGTCCCTTGATAAATGATAACAAAGCAAAGAAGGATCAATCCTAACTGGGATTGGGAGCAAAGTTATTGAGGTGGCAATGCAAAATTGACTGACAGGGTACCACTTTATCACCTACAAACTTAGACAGGTTGCCTACCTAACTCCCAGTAGGCAGTGGCTTTTTGACAGATGGGGCTTATAATATATTAGGTATGAACATATGTTAGCATGTCCCATGTTTTTAATTTCTTCTTATTATTTTGTATTAAAAAAATACCAAAAGCAAGCTAAAAACCAAAAAATATTGCATCTAAGACGCATAATATAAATAGTTTTGTAAGAAAAATATCACTTTTAACTATATGTTTCCATATTCCATATACAATATAATCAATTATTCATCAAGGTATAAACACATAGCTAAAATCATGAATCCATGCAAATAAGCAAAGCAATAGCACATTAAATCTAAGCAACGGATTAATGCAGCAAGAATCCCAACAAACAAGTAATAAACAGCATACTGATAATATAAATAGTCTAATTTGCCCTTTTCCTCTCATATGGAAGTGTTAACATGTATACAAAAGAAAAGGTGATATAAAGGCACTACATAGGAGAAGAAAAAAGTAATCTAGGTGTTACTTAGGGGGTGTTCTGTAGTGTGGATGAGAAATTGGTGGGTGTGGACTAGTCCACACCACACCCTGTGGCAGGGACCAATCCACACCACACCGCACTCCACAGCTGTTCTGAACTGTGGATAGACTATGTGGATTGGACCTCCACACCACACTTTTTGATTCCATGTATCTCATATACATTTTATTAATGATCTACATAGTCGATCATAAATGTCTACTTTTTGCATATTATATGATAAATATATTGAAAAAAGGCATTGATAAATTCATATTAATCAACAAATATTAATTTTAATAAAATGGTAGTAAAATAATAAAAAATAATTTAAATATTTAAAAATATTATTTTGTTGATAAAACTTCAAAATAATAATATTTAAATAAATTAAAAAAAAAGAGTGAAAAGGAGCACCATCAGGCTTGTGCTAGAATTAACATTAAAATTATTTTTTTTTGAAAGAAGTTATCTGATTTCATTAAAGGAAAAAGGGGTACACAAGAAGGTGTACAAATACAAAACAGGGGCCAGACCCCTGAGAATTACACAGGAGGAAAATTATCACAGTACAAGGTCTCCAAAATGACTCCTAATTTTGCTAGATCATCTGCAATGGCATTTAGCTCCCTTGGGATCCAATATAGAGAAACGTTCGTATGAGCCAATAGGTCCCTTGCCTCTGTTAAGAAGTGACTAAGTCTCCAAGGTCCAGTCTCTTGTTGTCCTAATCATCTTATAGTATTTGCTAAGTCACCTTTGATGGAGAAGTTCTGAATACCCAGTTTGCTGACTAAGCGAATCCCTGTGAGAGCTGCCAACACTTCTGCCTTTGTGGAGTCAACTATCCCAATCGGTCCACTGTATACCCAGCAAGTGAGACCATTTTCATCTCTTAGGATTCCCCCTATGCCGGCTGCTCCAGGGTTACTAAAAGCACTACCATCAAAGCTTAGAGTCCAAATTCCTTCCCTTCTTAAAGAGGGAACTCTGGGGGGGGGGCGGAGATGGGATAGAGGGGGAGGAGACCAGAAAGTTGTACACATTTCTGTTAAGGTCGTTAACATTGTTTCCTGTGAACTCCTCTAAGCTGGAAGCCCACAAATTGCACTGATAGGAGATGTGGTTGATCAGCTCACATTTGTTTCCTTTGATTTTATTTTATTTTCAAACAGTCGGTTGTTCCTTTCCTCTCAAATTCCCCAGAGTACCACATGAAGCACTATCAGCCAGTAAGTCTCACCTCTCTTACTCAGGCCGCTTCCTTGCCACTGAGAATCAGATCCTGAAGGTGCTTAGGAGCCACCCAACTATAGCCAACTAGCTGTAGGAAGAAGTTCCAGATGTTGCTGGCAACCTGGTAGTGTATGAAGAGGTGGTCAGTTGTCTCACCCTCACGGAGGCAGAGGATACAGGCGTGAGGGGAGATAAAAAGCCTTCCAAGGTTTTTCTTCTGCAACAGCTCACTGTACTCTATGCAGACAAGCCTCCCAAACAAAGAAACTCACTCTGGAGGGACAAACTTGCACCAGATTGTGATGCAAATAGCTCACAAGTGTTATTTTTCTTCTGCAATAGCTCACAAGTGTTTACTCTATGCAGATGTACTGTATTTTGAGACTCACAAAAATATACCCCTCCCATTTGGAGGTTGTGAAGCCTTGATTAATGCCTTTTAAAATGCTGCTTCAGAACAGAGCACTCTGAGCATGTTGGAATTTGGAAATGCCAAATAATTCATGTGATGCTTGCTTTAAGACAGTGATATTACATCTTACAAACAAAAGAATATCCAATTTTGCTCAGCTGCACAAAAAAACATAAAACTACACTCTGTTGCATGCTGCACCTGTTCATCTAATAACAAGGATTCAAATAACCTCAAAAATCACATTACGCACTGGAAAGACAATATTAGGATAACAACCGGACACATCTTTTTTTCCTTGTTGAAAAAGGGATCAAACTTCAATTTTTCATAAGATATAAGTCCTCTCACAAATACACTTGCTAACCAAAAAAAATCATAAATAATATTAAATTATGAAGCTTGGCATGCATGAACCAATTTTCCATTATTCATCCAAAACAAAGGAATTCCTTAATGACCTTACCACAAGATGTATACTATACTTGTATCATAAAATGTGTACAGGATACTGTAAAGATGGGAAAATACATTAATTAACCCAGACATTGCAGAAAAATCAAAAGGAATTGCAGTAAATCATCCCTCGCCAAGCACAAGCCCTTCTTCGCCCTTGTTGTTGCCACTAAAGGTTTTCAGCTGGGAAAATCTTTTTCTCTGCCAATGACAGAATGTAAATCAAGATTAATCAAAAGCCCTAAACTTGGGGCAGAAGTTTCCAATGGAACACATATTAATAAAAAAATATTTAATAAAAGAAAATGTAGTTCCATTTACACACCCAATGGCCCCATTGTATTTGTATGTCCAATTACACTAGAAGAACAGTATATACAAAAAAGAACTTAATAGAAATTCAGAATAAGAGGTAATATTTTGTGTACTGGCCTCTGAAAATTCATGATCAAAAGCCTCATTGAGCATTTCTTAATTAGGCATTTCAACTTTAATTCTTTCGTTCTTATCCTATGCCTGAATTTGGTATCAAATCGTCACTAGTTTTTTACATGAACTGAGCATTCACGATTCATATACCCACCTATTTCACTTCCTTATATGGCAATATGAGATTTCTTTCACTAATGAGTATGAATCCCCTCTGGAACCATTAAGGCTTGGCTAAACCTAATATACTAGGGCCCTGGGCCTCTATCCAAGTTGTCTTCCTGCTAAGTTGTAGATACAGCTATAATGTGAAAGATCAACATGTTCCTTGAGCAGCAAAATCTGTTGAGGCAAACAGGTGACTAATTGCAAGTAATTTCCCCATTTTGCTACCACAAATTGTATAAAAGTTCAATGGAACACCCGTAAGTCATGTATATGGCCATATGCAGATAGTATGAAACATGGTATCCGTTTGATAAAAAGGGGAAACAGAAACTTTCCCTTCACTCTGACATCTTTACTGGTGACAACAACTATAATTCTCCAAGGAGTAGACTAAGAAAATAGAGAGGAGTATAAACTAGTTGGAATGACAACACTCTACGGTGTAAAATAGCAAGTATCGGGGGAAGACTGTCTGTGCAAAAGGAGCACATGAGAGGACTGTCCTGCCTGCTACCCAAACTCTTCTAAAATTCTTGTATAAGGATAGACTTGGTTTTGTTAACTCTGGACAATCAAATTACATTTATACTACAGAAGTAGATAGTTTAAGCTCAACACATAGAGAAGAAACAATGCTAAGCGGTATGGCGATAAACTTACATAAAAGTTTTATCTATCGGCTACCAAACTACATTCATTGTTCCTCCCCCACCGCCCCCCAACTCCCGGAAAATAATAATAACAATAACAATAATATCTAAAAAAGAACATATATACCGTTTATAGTAAGCATGAACAAGAACAACCTTCTTGAACCAAAAAAGAAGAATGGAAAATCTCTAAATACAGTGCGATAATTTCCATGAAATCTCGGGGTAGGGAGGGGGCCTCAAATCTATGAAATCTCGCAAAAACCCCAATTACGAGTCGATGGATATTGGTACAGAGATAAACTGATGACAGTAAAATCGGGATGAACAGCACTAAAATGCGGTGAGATGATGAGATGATAGAGATCGGTACCTAAGTTGCAGCAGGCAACTGAGGGATCTTAGTTTCAGAGTGAAAGAAAAGGTTGGCTCGGTTTCTGCCCCAAAACGTGAGAAGACGGAGAAAAGGAGCGCCACAAAGAAATTAGAGAGCTTTATCGAGGGAGGGTTTTCAGTTTTCACGGACAAGTTCAACCTTGACGGTCCACCGATGGCCGCACTTCAGGGTCAAAAATGTATTCTCGCATCAACGGGTTGCTGCAAGCTGCTCTTCGTGCTTCATGGACTATGTGGACTATGAATGTGATCAAATGGGTCGGATATAAAACAATAATGGATCGAATCGAATTTATAACCCAAACCCGCGTTTTAAATTATAAAAAATCCTTACGCCTTCCATACAATTTGTACAATATGTACAATACAAATACATACAAAATAATATAAATATAAGATTTTGTGCTTTATATATTTGTATTTATACTCCTTTCATGAAAGTGAATGATTGCTGGTGATTATCTTATTAATGAAGTGAATGATTCCAATACTAAATATGTAAAAATTTATCCTTATGCATTAAATTTGATTTCCAACATTTAATCTTACTAAATTGATAATTAATAATCACGATATAAACAATAACATTTCTAATCAATTAGATTGTCACTATAAAGGAGTGGAGAAATTCAGGTCCCACGACCTAGAGTGAGAAAAAGCTATCCTCCCAATCAAGACCTTTGCTTGCCAAGCCTGGTTCCCTTCTTTGAGAGTATGCAAGTAGGATACCCTTGTTGGGAGATTGCTGGCGATTTAAAGGCAGTCTTCTAAAGCGAACAACACGTCCACAGAACATTCCAACACCCTTGTAGACATTTTAATTGTTAGGAGCGAGTCACCTTTGATGATGATTGATGTGTAGTTCCCCTACTTATGGAATTTTTGGTTCTGTTTTCATCTAAGAACCTTATCCACTAGCTGTCTAGGTCTCAGTTTGGATCAGTCATTTGGTGTTGTAATTCTTGGTCCAATAGGCCCTAACATTGGATTACCACTGGGCATTTCGCTATCATATGATCTCTATCTTCTTCTTGTATGCAAAAGGTGTAGTTGGGTCTAGAGGGTTTTCTTTGTTGGTAACTTGTTTAAGATCATTAGCCAAAGGAAGAATTTAATTTTTTTTTTCCGAAGGGAGGAGACCCTTACATGCTTTTATTAGACTTATCTTTTATGGGCTCAAGGTTTGGTTTGGTCATATTAAGTTATAAGCCAATTAAGGCGGTGTTTGGCATCAATGTCGTTGCTCCATAAAACAGTGTCATGTTGGAAAAATCGGTGCTCCAAAATACAGTAACATGTTTGGAATTATTTTTTTCATAAAAAACGGTGCTCTAAACCATGCATTGGAATTTGAAAAGGCATGGTTTGAGGAAATGCCGAATTCGACATTTTTTCAATTTAGAACTCATTGCTACCAACGATGACATGATGTGACAGTAACGTGGACTTTCTATAATGGGTACCGGTGCTGAAAACAGATATAAAGCATTGGTACCAAACAGAATGTGCTGTTGTTGCCTTAGGAAATGTTCTACCAATTCCAACCCACACATACATAGCACAGTTTTCTCAAAAAACGATGTCGTATATGCAGAATTGATGCCAAACATTTACTTAATAGTAAGAGAGCCATTGGTGTCCGAGCCCCAAACTAGATCATCTTCATTGTCACTCAGGAGATGAATGGCTTTAGTTTTTGGGATGAATTCATGGGGAATATTCTCATCTAATTTCCTTCGATCCCAAATTTTGTTTGGCTATTAATTAGATCCTCAACCTTGAGCTCCATGTTTATCTAGTTACCACTATTTGAGCCTATTATATCTATTAGAGGTTTATCTTTCGAGTCCAGATTTCCTACAAACTTTTCCTACCCACTCTCTACCCGTCATGAATTGGAGAGTGAGTAGGAAATCCCGAGTGCTATCTTTCGGCCAATTATCCTTCCATACATTGCACTTCCACTTGATTGGTTATCATTTTTATGACACTAATTGTTTGGTTATAAGTTGATTTTGGCATCATGTGTCTTTTTTTTTCCTTTGGAATAATAACAGGACTTTCATTCATTTCAGTTTCCAATATTAGAAGATACAATGGCTTCCAAAAAATCTAGACAAATCGGCCTAGAGACTATAGAATTACAACCAATGGCCATTCTAGAGACTTTATGGGCAGCTATAATTGCTTGCCACTTAACATGAGAAACTGAAAAAGAATATAAGCGAGATAACAAATTCCTACAATAAGCAATAACGATCGGTTGATACAGCACGGTAGAGAAGAATTCACCAACAAGAGTTCAATAATTTGTTTAGCATCGCCCTTAAAAGCTACTGAGTTCAATTGCAAGTCGGTTGTAAACTTAACACCATGCAAAAAAACGGGATTTACTACTCACTTTTTCTACCCGCCGTGAATTGCAGCCATACATCTCTATTATGGGTTGAGAGATGTGTGGCTGCAATTCACGACAAATAGAGAATGGATAGGAAAAGTGAGTAGGAAATCTGGGTTTCATGGAAAAAGGCCCAGGCTTTCCACCCCAATAGGCGAATCACAAGGGAGGGAAACAACAAGAGAATATGCATGACTCCCATTATGATCCCATTAACAATAGCACCACTCGCCTTATTATCTCTCATTGCCCCATCAATATTAGTCTTCAACCAATCCACGTGAGGTTTTGACCACATGGATTGTGGTGTGCTTCCAGCATCAAGAGCTGCAACCATCATCTTTGTCAATGTAAGATTAATATGATGGAAGTACTATAAGAAGAATTCTCCAAGAGCCATACCCTTCTTAATAATGAATGATTGGTTAAGATTTTTTTTTGCTCAAAAACATTCTCATTACGGGAACGTCAAATAGTCTATTTGACCTATGGGTGAATATGCAAGCATATGTTTCATTCTTATTTGAGTAATAGCAATGAGGTCTCCAATATCATGCTAAGAATGGCTAGTATTATTTCCAAAAGAAGATGGGAATCGTTTGATGAGAAATAAAAAATTCGAGTGGATGAAGCTAAAGCAACTGCTTTTGGAGTAACAAAAAGAAAAGCAATGACTAAAGCGGGGGAGTCACAGTTGAAATGGGGATTTCTCACTTATTTCTCTCATTCAAAACTGTGAATGAGACTTTCATCTCACACAGCTCCTAAGTGATCAAAGAAAAAGAACTCATCTTCTTTTTTGGGTTATCTTCCCCGTGTATGTATAAGACTAAATCTATATATATAAAAGACTGAATCCATTTGATTTCTAAAAAGGATTACTAATCCTTTTTCGAGGGATCCTTCATCAATTGTTGTAAATGAATGTTTTTTTTTTTTTTTCAATCTTTTTGACCTTGGTTCCATAGGAGCAAGYCAAAAAGATTGAGAAATAGAACCATCTGATTTGATATATTTTCAATAGCTATGGGATAATCATCTTAGGGTGATCCATGCTCCTATTACACTCCTGGTCTTTGAAGGATGAGAACCAACTATGTAGCATCTCCATCAAGAATTCAAGTATTGTATACATCATTAGTCTGATCCTTTCCTACCCGTAATAACGAACTTGCAAAATGGATCTATTTATCACAAAGAGAAACATTGTTTCTAACCCTCCTTCACCTTAATTGTTATTTGAACAAAAAGATCACAATAAACTTTTGGTAAAAGTTATGTCTTGGTCCGAGTGGGGATAGCATTTCTCTTCTGCATGTCCATGGAGTTTTGAAAAATCCAAACATTTTAGAGATAGATATAGAGGTAGAAAATTTTCAAATGAGTCACGTTCCTCCATATATGTTAGGAGCCCATTAATGAAAAGGGGTTTGGGAAAGCTTGAACTCAATTCCTAAAGTGATGAATATAAGCACAATTGAAATTCCTAGTTATACATTTGTGTATTGATAAGAACCAGTCACTATTTCTTGAAGCTCAATCTCTTCCCTAGATGAACCATATAGCCAGGAAACCATGAATCAGAACAGAAGAGCTTTCCCCACCCATGAGTAAATATTTTATAGCAGCCTCATCAGATCGTACATCTCTCTTAGTATATATAGATAATACGTAGGAGTTTAAAATAAAACATTTTGGAACTACAAAGATAGTTATTAAATCGTTAGCAATGCATAAAAAAGTCCTCCTAGAGTACTTATTAATATGAATAATAGAAACTCTATTATAACCATTTTTGTACATTCAATGTAGTACACAAATAGTGAAATATAGAGAGTTGGACATAGTAAAATAAGAAACTGAAAGATTTCACTGAAATTGTTCATGTGGAAATTTCGTAAAAAGCCAATCATATAGATTCTCCTCCCCATTGGAATAATAGGGCCATTATGCTCATTAATAAACTTGTTAAAGAGATGAAATATAACCAAGGTATGTCTTTTTTATCTAATTCATATCACTTGACTACATGAAACACATATTAATTAAGATACTTAAAAGACATTATTACTCATGGAATCTTAAGCTCTATATGTTTCTTAGAGCCAATATTATCTCTTAAACAATCCATCGTATCTTGGTCTAGTATTGAGTTGGAGTATAACAGCTTGGTGTCTACATCTGTTGACTTCAAATGGGTCATCATACTTATTGGAACTTGGGTTTTCTCATGTTTCTCGGCCTACTCTATAGAGTGTGATAATTTGGGAGTAACATTTATTACTAAACATAGATTTCATGTATGCACCAAATATATTGTCCTTGACTGCATTTTGCTAGAGAGAAGGTTGTTGAAATGTCTCTCTTAATTAGTGCATATGGTTCACTTGATGGCTGATATTTTACATAACCCATTTCCAACAATCGGTTTTCCATTTAGGGGGCATTTTTTTTTTAGATTTTGAGAGGGGGGAAAGTTGGTCAATAAGATTTTGGTTCCCACTGACCAAGAATCCCATGTTCATTTTTTAGATTAATGTTGGGACCAGAAAAAGTTTATTTTCCTGCGTATCATTTACTTGGGTAAGTGATACCTATCTCGTAGGTGGGTAAATAAATTTTCCACTAGAAAGTTGCTAACACTTGAATGAGACAAAAATATCCCTTTTAATAATGGATTTTTATGACTAAAATGGTCATTATCTTATTTACCTGAAAAATAAAAGAATATGGGTAAATGCACTTACTTGGGTAAATGTTTTCTAGGAAAAACTTACCTAGGTAATTGCATTTACCCGAACAAGTAACTTACCAAAAAACGAAGAAGGCCTTAATGTCACAAGCTAATAGTTTGGGAGTTCCTTGTCAAATGCAAAGCAATTCTCGCTCATAGTAGTAGCAAAACTAGACCTGATGAAAGGGTTGACTAGTAATTACAAGCTAGTAGGTGGGATTCTCTTTTTATTTCATTTTCCATGTAACTTTGATCTATAAAGGAATGGAATATAATTTGGAGTATAAATCTCCTCTCATTGGGTTTAGCCCCCATTTGGGAGTGCTTATTGGATACGTGATTATGAGTGTTTGGTGAAAAAGCACTTGTTTCAAATAGGGGTAGTATAGGTATTTTTAAAATAATGGCAGACCAAGATGGGCCAAAAAAGAAATAAACACTTAAAAATTGGGCTCTTGAATAAGTGCTTATTTTCAGGAATAAGCATTTATTCAAGCTTATTTTCCAAATACAAACAAGTGATTATTGGTGTAGTCCCAGCCCAAAATAAAGTGCTTATTTGAATTAGCATGCCCAGATATGGGCTTATACTGTATATCTACATACAATTACAAATTATGCTTGATTATAAAAACCAAACAAATAACAAAGAGTCGCAATGATGTAGGAATCCATGCATAGTCATGCATGAGTCTTCTAATATAGTAATTGTTAAAGTGGCTTTGTTGTTTAGGCCTTGTATTAACTGGGCACAGGTTTCAATTATGTCCAATACCCTCGTCAGGCATAACCATTTTGGGCAAACTATTAGCTTGTGACATTAAGGCCTTGTTAGTTTTTTGGTAAGTTACTTGTTCGGGTAAATGCAATTACCTAGGTAAGTTTTTCCTAGAAAACATTTACCCAAGTAAGTGCATTTACCCATATTCTTTTATTTTTCAGGTAAATAAGGTAATGACCAAAATTCAGAGTGAGTTTTGCTACTCCTCATTTGTCCTGAGGAGATATGATCGAGCAACATACTGGTTAGAAGATAAGACCAATACCAAACAATTTCACATCTTGACAAGTCCATCAATATTTCAACTTAAAGTTGCTAATTACCTGTAGTCATTCCTGCTACAGCAGCGGCCTTTCTCTTGTGGTGCAAGATAGCCAGAACTCCTACAATCACCCAGAAAATGACGACAGCTGGGATTGTGGCCCCAAGAATTACCGGTAGTTTACTCTTCTTGCTGCTGCCTGAGCTCCCAGTAGAGGTGTCGATGCCGGAAGTCTGACATGACCGGCCGGAGACACACAAGTCCTTATTGCCTGACACACTACAGGGTTAAAGAAAACAATTAAAAACCCAATATAGTCTCTTGAATTTTGGTAATTTATTTTGGGAAGAGTTGAATTAATCTTGATAAAGCTAGGGTCACTTACACCAACTTTAATTTGCTATTCTTAGACAATGAAGAAGGTATGGACCCACTGAATTCATTATCTGCCAAGTTACTTCAAGAGGAAAAAGGGGCACACGGTTAGTTTAATTTTTGACATAAATTAATACAAAGAACACTTGGCCCCGTTTGGTTCACAGGAATTGGGGTTTGGAATCGGAATGACTGTTTGGTTGAGTGGAATTGGAATCTCATTCCCATTCCATCTGGAATGGTATTCCCCGATTTGAGGGATTGGCTATTCCCTGCCCCTCCTTGGGAATGAAATTCTATTCGTGCTGATTTTAATTTCCATTCTCATTCATGTCTGAACCAAATAGGAATGGACCATTCCGATTTCAACTACTACCAAACGGACCCTTAATTGTAATGGTCTCCCCAGGATAAAAGGAATTAGAAAGAGAAACTCACAGCTCTTTGAGGTTGGGGAAGGTCCCTAGGAAAGCAGGGATTTCTCCAGTCAAGCTGTTGTTGTGCAAATCTCTGTGATAGATGAGAAACGATAAAGCGGTTCAGAACATGATATCCAAAACGTTTGTGTTTTTGTACTTGCTGGTGCTTCTTATCCATTTTCACTTACATGGTTACTAGTGCATCCATGGAACTGAAATCTGGAAGAAACCCGATCAGATCAAAACTACCGAGATTCCTGGTGATTCCAGATAAATCATTAAATCAGTAAAAATGCAGATAATTCTTTGACCTTTGAAGAACAATACTTTTTTTCCCTGTTACACGACTTTACGTGAAGAAACCCAATTTGATCCAGAACCAGAAGTCATGTTTATAGAAGTCTAGGACCAAGAAGAGGAGGCTGCTGCTTACAGTGCTGTTATGCGAGGCCTGTCATCAGAGCTACAAGTAACCCAGTCCCAGCTAAACGTTGCAGGAAGACAAGGATCACTGCTCCACCCCTGGAGTACGTCAAATTGAGTTTGCAACTGGGCCAATCCTTCCACTGGATAAGAATTGAAACTGCAGGTTAGTAAAGCCATGACGCTGTAGGGTCAAAGTCTGTAGCTATGAGTTGAATTTGAAGATCGATAAGAGTCTCACCATCTTTGCTATTGGTTCCATCAGTCAGTGGATCGCTAATTTGAAAGACCTCCATGGCATTTATCAGTGGAGGAAGTGTGGAGTCGGAAGTGGGTACCAAAGAAACCGAAGTGTTTGAAGAAGCAGTTATATTGCCGATGAATATCTCAGTGACACTCTCCAAAGGAGGAATTATGGGGGTAGATATAGGCGTGTTGTCTATGTAAACCCGGAAGGACCTTTTCTGCGTAGAATCCAGCTGAGACACCTCGGAAAAGTACCAGTTTATGTAGGTGGGGACTTGAGCATTTGGAAGGTTTGTGCCTAAGATAATGGAGAAAGATGCGTTTGCATCTGTAGCTGCAGTCTGTAACACAGCTTTTGGAGGTTCATCTGCAGCATCGGTGGTGGCAATGAATATTGCTTCATTCGTAACATTATTCAAACCAGTAGCAAGCTTGGCTGGAACCCAAATACGATCGTATAAGTCATCTGGAGAGCTACCAACAGACATCAGAACGATTTCTCACTTTCAGCATGCCTAAGAGGATAAATCAAAGCCTAATTTGAATCGACGTACATTTAATTTGGTCTGCACTTAATTACCTTATGATATCGGTGGCTCCATAAGCAGTTCTCCCTCTCAAGAACAAGGCATGATTTGAATTGACGTGACTGTACATTTCTGAACCCAACTCCCTAACTTCAAGTGCCGATATGAAGGGAAACTGATTGGGCTGGGTCTGAGCCAGACACACACTTATGGTATCCCCCTTGGGAACATATATTGCTTCGTAATAAATCGGGTTAATGCTGCTCGCCGTCGTCAACACGGTGGCCCAGAGGTTGCCGTCCAAATGGAGATCGAAGGTCGGAGGGGAGGATTTCTTGTCGTAGTTTCCATAGTAGAAGCTTGCGCGCACAAGATGCCTTTTTCCATTAGCACTCCCGAACGAGTAGCAGTTCTTCTTGCGAGCCGTGAACACCCTCAGAGTGGTCATCTCCTTGGAGACAGAAGCAGCAGCAGTCGTTTGCACGGTTTGGCTCTCGCCGGTCTGAATGTAGAGATCGTCGCTGCTCCAGGTGATCCCGTTGTCATCCACGTAACTATCCGTAGAACCGCAGTCTATGCTTACAAACACTGCAAGTTGGATTTGGATATATAACGTGGGAAAGCTGTGAGTGCTCGATCATAAACCATTCATGCATATACGTACAGAAATTTAACTGATAAACAAGAAAAACAAGTATTGGATCTGGATGCAATTAACGCTCACCTTGTGCCGATACAGATATAGCTAACATGGTTAGAAGTAATAAGATGAAGAGATGGTGAGCCTTAGCCATGGCAGCAGTAATGAAACTCTTGAAAGAAGGAACAAAGAGAGGAGAGTAGCAGCTAGCAGGGATTTTGAATTTGCTCCGCTCCATTTTTGAATCAAGACTATCGAGGAGAGGAATTACAACCCATTTTATAGGTTGTTTTGAACTATGAACTGTGATTTGCGCTGGAGATATAGAGCATTGTTGACAGGATGTTCATGTGCTTTGCTAATTTTTGTTTTATTTTTGGTTGACTTTGACTTTATTAATTATTTTCTATTTGTATCATTCGTTCATGGAATGGGAGTCCTAGCTTGCTTAGATTGGTATATTTTGACAAGAACAGTAGTGAGATCCTTTACTAGGAAGCCTAGTATAGGAGTACAAGAACAAAATATAGAGACAATTTTTCAAAGAGAATAATGAGAGTTCCGACTGAAATCTTTCATGGTAAACGAACACATGGGCCATGGGCTGGGCCCACCTTCACTTGAAGGTCTCGAACAGGTCAACAGGGATGTAGCGTTCAAGGAAGATATTGGATGTGGGTCCCAAGGGAAGCAGCGTCAGAGATGAGAATACACATGAATGGCCAAGCCAATTGGTCAACAACTCAACATTTTTTGGGGAGGGAGAATTAAGGCCCGTTTGGTTCGCGGGAATAAGGGTCTCGAATTGGAATGGGATGGGTTATTCTGATTTCAATTTGGTTGGGTAGAATGGGAATCCTCCCATTTGAGAGAATGGCCATTTCATCTATTTTTCTTGGAAATGAAATCCTATTCCTCTTAATTTCAATTTTCATTTATATTCCTGTCTAAACTAAAAAATTTCGATTCCAATTGCAAACCAAACGGACCCTAATGTGCAACTATGCTACCCAAGATGTGTTTGCTCTTCACAAACTCTGCATTAATATGACAAAAGGTGTCCATGTAGGGCGGCTTTGGGGCATTTGGCTTGATTCGTTTACGCGTGGTATTTTAGTCAAAATCAACGGCTTGTAAGTGGTAGTGCTGTAATGGAGAGTTGACTTTCATGGGTGTTGACCTATCAACCTAATCATAAGCTCATAACATTTGCGTGTTAATGGATAAGCTCCAGCATGTTAAACCCATCTTTGTTCCGCCATTTTCGACTTTTGGGTCCCTGTTGGGGGAATATAATGCAACTACACCATAATAGGGCCCACGCAATTCTGGGCCGGGGCCCAAAAGGATCTTTCTCCCTGTTGGGGGAATACATGGAAGTTGGAAATATAAATTACTGGGCACTTACGAAGCATATGTGTCATAAAGATAAAAATGTAAGTTAATAATACGTTAATAATAGATAAATGAAGGGTCTTACGATTGGAATATCAAAACCTCTCTCTCATGAATTAATTTTGATGAATACCAGTTGATTGATTGTAACTTTTATGATACCCGTGGGTTGATTATAAGTTTTTCAGGTATCATACTCAAGTCTATCCATTTAAGCCGTACAAGGAGGTTGGATCAAAAGATCTGGTAATGTGGCAAACATCTGCCTTCAACACCGTGGATATGGTATATCATGATTCAACATGAATGACCATCATTGTTCATTGGACTTCTCAATAAACAATATCAGTTTTTATTATTTTTTAATCACATGGTTTTTAATTCCAAAAAAAAGCCCAAGAAGGATGGACATAATTTTATGTGATAGGGTGTATCGGCTAAAACTGACAGTCAGTTTGTCAAACGAATAGGGGGTTCCCATTTCCCAATAAACAATCCTCTCCAGATCAGTGCGGAGAATATCCTCTACTGGCCCAAAAATGATTTTATGCCAATTCATATAGTATGCTCCAAACACATGGGATGGGACTCTTTTGATCCCATTCCAAATTTATTTAAGTATTGACATGTTAACAAAAATAGTTCAAAAGGGCAAAATTCTTAAACATACCCTGAGCTTTAACCTGGATTTTGGGTTAGTTAGCACTGAATCAGAAAGCTGTTTGGTCTTCATTGGAAATCTAATTTGCTCCGTTCTTGGGTTAGCATTGAACACTGAAAAGCTGGATTTGAGTTTTGGGTCCTCTTTAGGAATATTATACATCTAAACCATAATAGAGCCCATGCAATTCTAGGCTGGGCCCCGAAAAGGTTCTCGCGTATTTTACACCTTATCCATCTATCCATCCATGGAATAAGCTTTGTCACTTCAATCCAGTAATTCGACGCATGTTTTTGCGATCCAACACGGCATTTCCCACCTTCTACTGTATGATTTATGAAGAGTATTAAAAAAATCGATACAGTTAATGCATAAATCTATGATACTGAAAGGTATGATACCGTAAGAATTTTGACCAAACACCCCTAATTTTTGTTATGCTGCCAGAAGATATCATATATAAACAACTTTGACCAATCCACCCCCAATACCCCCTGATTGACTACCACCTTGTAGATTTATAAGGTTTTTTTTTTTTAATATATCATAATCGAACCCTTGAATTCTTTGTTCACAAAGAATTTGGGTGATTTTTCAAGAAATTAGGAAATAAATTTATGTGATAGGCTGTCCCAGCTAACAGCCAAAACTGATTATCAGTTTGTCACATGAATAGGATATTCCGAATTCTCTCCAGCCTGGTGAGGAAAGGATCCTCCACCTGCCCAATGACATCATGCCAACTCACTCGTTCAGTATACACTAGACCTGTTTATGGGCTGGGACGGGCCGGGTTCGGGTAGGGCTTTGTATATATATCAACACTTCAACAGAATACATTCAGCCCCGAGCCGGAGCCCAACCCGACCACCGGGCCTAAGTCTTGAGTCTGACCAAAAAATTGAAAATATAATTTTTTTATTCAATAAAAAAGTGTTTTATTCATATTAAAAACCTTCAAAACTCAAAAATAATAAACATCTCACTATTACTTGGAAAAAAAAGAGAAGAACAAATAAAAAATATTATATATATTTTTATCAAATAAAATATATTTTTTATTATTTAATATATAGTATCAAGTCGGGTTTGGGCTCGGCTGGGCTTTTTTGGGAAAGCCCGAGCCTGGCCCAAAATAAATCGGGCCCGGTGCTTTAGGCCCGAGCTCAAGCTGACGGGCCTAAAATTATGACCAAGCCCGACTTAATAACAGGCTGGGCCAGACCAGCCCATTGGGCTACCTGGCCCATGAACAGGTCTAGTATACACCAAACCAATGCTTTCAAACCACCGTTGATTTGGACGGTCGGGCCGTTCAGCCTGAAAAACCATCCAAGAAACTGGTTTTGTTTTACCCTAAATCCGGTCCTTGGCCAAAAATCATTGAATTGATCAACGACTTGTTGATTCGGGTGTTCAAATCGTCGATCCATTCGACCAGTTCAATGGTTTTTGGTCGTTTTTATTTTAATTATTATTTTTTATTTTTTAATTTTTGTTAGAACGGGTCATCGGTTCGAACTGGATGGTCGAATCATTGACCCAAAAATCAATAACCAAAATGGTTCTGGTTTAGGTCATTTTTTAAAACATTGCACCAAACACATGGCACTCTCTTGAGCCCACCCTCATTGAGTATTAACATGTTAAAAAAATGTTATTGACCGATTCAACAGTTTTTGGCTGGGCACTGGATTTGGGGTAAAATAGAACTAGTTGCCTAGACGATTTTAGGGCCAAATGGTCCAACTGTCCAGATCAACGGTGATTCAAAAACCAACCTAAATAGTACCGGTGATATCCTTTGTTTGATGGCATAAAAAAAAAAACAGTTTCAGTACCATGTGTTTCCAGCATCATAGATTTTTCCTTCTTTTCTTCTGCACATCTTGTATTGAACCCACATCTCTACCATCTTGATAATCCACTAGGTTGGGTAATAAGATATGGGAAACTCGGCATAGCTTTGTTCAAGCCAAATGCTACTTTCTAAAGATTGTCGACTTCTGCTTTCATCTTCCCATCGGATTGGCCTAAGTTAGCCTTTACATTGCTTCAGGCTGAGGCCTTCGAGCCAAGCCCATTCCAATTTTGACAAAAACCTAATCCAAGCCCATCAAACATCCAAGTTGCATCCTAAGCATATGATACCCATTGGGTCTCATTTAACAATTTGCCAACGACGGAAAATCAGGAATTTCTCGGTGATAACTGCCTAAAATGAACTTCCCTAAAACCACTCCTGTTTTCTTTTCTTCTCCATCTCCTCTCTCAAAGCAGTCAATGAGATGGAAAACAAAAACCGCACTCCTCACAGTTCATCGATTTGGCTCCTGGCTTCGCTTTGCCCACTCTCTCTCTCTCTCATGGAAACCTCCAAACCCCCACCGCCATTGTGACCTTCAAGTAATGAAATCGCGTTCATCTCAGGATTCTCATCATCTGTGTTTTCGAACCTTCAGGGAGGTCGATGTTCAGATCCTGAGATTTTCAGTTTGGCATATGGAACTCTTTCTTTGTTAGCCGAGGAAAGACGCAACAGTACTGCATAGTGCCCTTAATTGATAATTTTACAAAAAGCTTATCTTATTTTAATTATTATATGAAAATTATTATTTTAATTGATATTAAAGGCAAAAAATTGCCATTATCGACTAGAAGCCCTAATTACTCATAAAAAGGAGAAAAGACCCTTTGATTTAGTTTTTAGAATAATTAAAAAGGATATTCAAATATTGTAACGAAATGGATTAGATTTTTGACTAAGAAAATAAACTGTGATTGGTTTGAATCACTTCGGATTCGATGTTAGTTGGAATCAAAATCCAGTCCAACGATAGCTTTAAATTGACAGCTTAATTGTAACATTGTATCAATGAAGGTAGACCCCACTCCTCTGGGCCTTGCTAATAGTTGTTGGTGATGTCAGAGAGATTTGTGTATCACTTGAAGGAAAAGCATTATGGATTTCTTAATTCTGTGGGTCCGTTTAGTTCGCATGAATAAGAGTCTAGAATGGTTCATTCCATTCTAATTATTTGGTCGGATGGAATCAAAATTCCATTCCCATTATTGTTAGAATGGCATTCCTCGAAGAAATAGCCCTAATTTCAACTGATTTCAATTTTTATTTTAGTTCTTGTTTGAACCAATCAAATTATGGAAATAGGCCATTCTAATATCGATTCAAACAAATTTGATTCTAATTCTCATTCTGACTATTAATTAAACGGACCCTAAAAATCATTTCTGTCCCAAATCCCAATTGAAACATGATGTTTGGCTGGCATGGACAACTTTTGTGATTGAAGAGAATACAGCAACCCTTCAGTCCACTAGAGGCTAGAATACGTGTCTGTTGTCTCAATTTGTTTTGTTTGTTACTGGATTATTTGCGATGCCCGTGATCATCCCATCTGCTTGCTTTCATTGTGGGTCCATTATTCTGTGGTTTCAACTTTGAAAATAAAATCTGCTTGGTTTAGATTACCAAAAAAAAAGGTTTGGTTTAGTGTGGCCTAGGCAGAATTAACTATTTAAGCTAAGCAATAGCCAACTCATGTATTACAATTTACAAATAAGGCGCAAATTGATTTTTATTGAAAATCCACCTGGCATTGTGTCAAGCTTTTGATAGCCAAAGACGTTTCAAATTTCATGTGGGCCAATTTTTTATCCACAATTAGTAAACTAGAAAAAGATGAGCTGGCCTTGTAAATAAGGATTGAAATATTTGTTGATATGACTGATACTAGCTTTTTTTATTTTATTTTATAATCATTAAGACCCTCCAATAAAGTATTTTTAAAATTTTAAATCTTTAAAAATATTTTTTATCCATGTACCTATATTTTTTTGAAGGCACCATGTACCCATGTACCCATACCCATTGATACAAATGTGATAATCGGGTATAATATATCAATATTTTAAGTTTTACTTGCAAACATTAACATGTCAGCGCTCCAAATAGCAAAAGAAGTTGATCTGCAATTATTTTTGTTATTTGTCGTTGTGGAATAATTTTATTTTGAATTTTGAAAATAATCATGCAGCAAGAAAAGATGGGAAAATAAACAACATTAGACATCAGACCATACTATTTTTCGAGAGAAAAAACATCGAGCACAGAGAGACCGGTGATGTTTGGTTTCATGGACGTTTATTAAAAACACACTGCTACATTAATGTCACAAAGGCATTAGCGTTTATTGCATTTGAAACTATTGTTTGGTTTTATCTTTTATCGAATAAATAACTAAAAACTGAAATGTATTGATTTTTGTGAATAGGGCATGGAAAACGTCATATTCTCGTTTCTCCCAATGCCCCAATATTTTTTGAAATGAAATTATCATGTGACACACTTTTATGTGGTGTTGATCTGAGGTAGAAGGCAAAAAATAATTAAAATAATACTCAACCAAACAACAAAAACAAGAAAAACATTTAAAGTAAAATACAAATAACGTTTATAAATGACTATCTATAAACGTCTGTAGAACCAAATATATACTATAACATATGAGACGTTTGCAAATGGTACAATGAGTTAAATAACACCCAAAAGGAGGGACAACACCTCAATAGAGATCGATCCCATTAAGCGAGACTCCCTAAATAGCAGAAAATGAAACCAACCTCAGATGAACATGGAGTTTAGGAAAAGGGATACTGCCAAAGGCTCAACCCCAAACGGCCCAACCCTTGGCAGACCAAAGCCCAATTTTTCAAATCATACATAGGAATAATAATAGCATATGATCTTTGATCTTGTCAACATACTTATTCACTGCTAATAATTTATAACAGATAATTGCCTTGATTTTGATGTAGGCCATAAAAATTAAATTTGATTATTTTTTATATCATTTACTTATATTTTTACCTTTATATAGATGGATGTAGGGGCATCAATTGGACTGGATTTGGTCCAATTCAAACTTTAGACTGCCAATTTAGGGGTGTTCATGGGTCGGGTTGGGTCGGTTTTTTGAGATTTTTCCAACCGACCCGACCTGGTTGGGTTAGCTAAGGTGGGAACCGAAATCGACCCACTGACAGGCCAAACCGACCTTGTCGGTTTCGCTTTTGCTCCTGTACAAAGCCAAATAAAATCTGAATTAGTTGATAATTTGATATTCAAGAGTCCAAGATAAATCTAAATTTAATTCAGGTAAAGAATAAAATCAATAAATTCTTCATGTAAAAACAAGTGTCAATAATGGGCCTTCTAGAGTAAAAAACTAGATAAATTTAAGTAGGTAAATCAATCAAATAAAAATTTAGAAACCTTATAAATTCTAATCTAGGTAAAAAACTAAAAAAGGACACCTAATTGAATTCTAATTGTAATTGCCTAATGAACCTTCTGGAGTTCTAGTTCTAGTAGAAGTCTAAAAGTAGAAGATTATTAGGAATTAAGAAACTACTCAAACTAGGAAATAGGAACTACCAAACTAGTAGAATACTAGTTCGGTTCGGGTCGGGTTGGTTTCGGTTTTCACGCAAGAAAACCAAAACCAACCCGAGATTTCGGTTTATGTATGTGCCCAACCCGAAACCGACCGGTACGGATGAAAACCCGCCCAACTCGGGTTGAGTCGGTCCGGGTTGGTCGGGTTGGGCATTCTTATGAACAGCCCTAGTCCAATCTGTTCAAATTTATTTTAATTTAGATTGGTTCCAATCCAAATCTGATCCATTGACACTTATCTTGTACCAATGGACCATAAATTGATTCAGTCCAACTCAATCCAATTCAATAAATACTTTGGACCACTAAGTCTGAACAAGTCCAAGTCTTGTTAATCTGTCCAATCCGTCTAAATTGATTTTGGTTTAGAACTTTAGAAGGATCTCATCCATTGGTAGTTCTAGACAGACGTATACCCACACTACTATGATATAAAATTTCATCTTTCATGCTAAAAAAAAGTAGCCAATACGCCAAGTGATGCTAGGCCTCGAAGACAATATCATTGCGCATCTTTTCTGGTTGGCCAATCGCCACAAATAAAGAAATAAGACTTAATTTTCTACTTCAACAAATCAATGCAAGTTTAGCTTGAACAATTAAGCAAACAAAAAAAGTTCATTCTCGTCATTCAACACCCACCAGGCCAAAGTCGCAGCAAAGTCTTGCAATCCTCCAATACAACACAGCCCCAACCTCCACTCCACCATGTATATTGTAATTTGGGTATCGTTGTCAATGGGTCTTGTCTGGTCTGGGTTAGGATAGACCCAAAGAGTAAAAGTGCAAAACTAGTTCCGAACCAGACCCCATAGAGTTTCTGTTCAGAAGACTAATAGGTCTGACCCTATAAGACAAAGTAATTGTTTTGCATTTAGTTTTGTAAGATCATGCTAATTTGATCCCCCAGATTTATTGGATTTAAATATCTCACATTCTTTCCGATGTTTTCAATTGGACAAACAGTGAATTTGTACGATGATATTATTCCCAATTCCAATGGCAGCAGACCAGGCACCTCCATTCTTCTCCCTCTCCTGCCCCGCCTGTTACGATTGTCGTATCCAGAGTCAAAAGAAAAGTCAAATTCAAGCACAGAACATAAGAGAAGATCAAGAGAGTAACCTTCATCCCACCTTCCTTAGTAGTTAGTACCACTAACCTAGCTACTAATTGTCTCTGCTGCCTGCACTCACCACTGTCCCCAGACCCCACACGTATTCTCTGCTGCAAGTTTGGTTTTGCGCGTTTATGCGTTTGGTTGGCGCCTCCGCCTACACTCATCTTCATCAACTCATCAACTCCTTTGTTTCAGCTTTCTTCCTTCTTTCCTTCCTCCAATTTAGGGAAAAAAATATAATTCAAGACAGTCAAACAATGTATCATATATATGTATGATACAGGTTACATCATGACGATGTCATTTTCCAAATGCCAGCTCCCCAACAGCGTTAACTTTGGCTTGGTATACTGCCTGCTACACTGCACACGGCCTTTTGTTTCTTTCTTTTCGAATCCTGAATCCTGATCGTTGACAGGACAGTCTCCATCGGTCCAAATACATATTGATTCAATCATCTCCTGTTAACGGTTCACCCTCACCCACTAGTGATTTCAATCCTACGGTTTATACTCCTCTTCATAGAAGACTTGCCATTTCTTCAAGCTCAAACCCACTCTCAGAAGAATTTGTGTGCCATTGATTTAGATATTTTTGAAGTGGGAATGTGGGATTCTCTATGCCCCTTCAAAGTTGAAACTTGAAAAGCAATAAGCATTCAGATTTCAGACTCGAACAAAACATTTGAGATGAGCTGCCTGCGTTGCCTTCCAAGTTTCAATGGTGATGCGGAGCATGGGAAGGTAGAGAGCGGTGTATTAATCCGCACTTGTCGCTCTTAGATAGAGACATTTGTAAAGTTCCCAATTATTCTATTCGAAAAGTAAGGCCTGTCTCTCCTCCATTCATGGCGATACTGTGGTAAAACTATTGTCTCTTTCCTCCCCTCACAAGTAACAACAACCTCTCCGTTTCACTTTCATTTTCTTTCTTCCTTTCTTCTTAGTTTTTTCTCTTCTATCTTCTGGCTTATTTAAGTTTCTTTCATTTTCTCACCACTGCAAGGACACACCAGATTAAAAAAAAAAAAAAAAAAAACTCTGTTCCGTTCTCCTTTTTTTTAATTCTTTTTTCATAGTGAGAAGGTTAGCTCTCCAAACTTAGCTGGATTCCTGATTTCTGTCCGTTCCAATTTCATCCATCAACCCATCTTTCTTTCTTTTATTTTATTTTATTTTATTTTATTTTATTTTATTTTATTTTATTTTACTCTTTTAGCTTCGTAATCTAGCAGTCGACATATATAACCCAGTTTCGATATTGAGCACAGGATGCTTTGGCCAATATATCACTGCAAACATTGTTCTCCTTTTTGTTTCTTATTCTAACTGAATAGCTTGAGGATTCATAAAAGGAAGAAACAGGTCCGTCTTCCCGTTTAGGTTGGTGATGGAGAATCTGCCACTCTCTCTGTGGGAGTTCAAACGATTACAAAGGTGCCATCTTTCTCAATTTTCTATGTCATAAAAAGGTCTTCAATTTCAGTTCGGTTTGTGGTTATGAAGTTGTGTTGCAGCTCTTTTGAACCCTAGAATTGAGTTTGCTGAAATCGATTTGTATATCTTTCTTTTTATTCCTCTCTCTCTCTCTCTCTCTCTCTCTGTTTTCATGATGAATGTTGGAGAAGTTAAATTGTTTATCTGGGTTTCATCCCTGTTGTCTTTGGCATGTATTTCTGTTGGATTTACTCCTGTGGACAATTACCTCATAGACTGTGGATCATCCACCAATACATCGGTGGGAAATCGTGTCTATGTGTCCGACATCTCCAATCCCCGATTCCTTTCGACCTCCAGGAACATTTTTGCCAACAACACCGCTTCCTCCACCACCAGTTCGCCTCTGTATCAAACAGCTCGAATCCTCGATGGGTCCTCTAAGTACAGCTTTCCAATCCAAAAGCAAGGAAGGCATTGGATTCGACTATATTTCTTCCCGTTTGTCTACCAAAGCTACAACATGAGCATGGCAAGCTTCTCTGTTTCAACTCAAGATTTCGTCCTCCTCAGCAATTTTCAAATACAGAATGGTTCTCTAATGAAAGAGTATTCTGTGAACATTACTTCAGACAGGCTCACCCTCACTTTCACTCCTTCAGATAATTCGTTCGCCTTCTTAAATGCTTTAGAAGTTGTTTCAGTCCCCGACGATCTCATTGTTGATGATGCCGTTCAAGTTAAGAGTTCGACGGGTTATCAAGGTCTGTTAACACAGGCTTTAGAGACGGTTTGGAGGGTGAACATGGGTGACCTAGCTGTCTCCCCTCTGAACGATACTCTAGGTCGAACATGGATTCCCGATCAAGATTTTTTACTGAACAAGAATTTGGCCGTGGCGGTGTCGAATATTCCGGCCGTCAATTATGTGAATGGCGGGACCTCTCGGGACATTGCTCCTACTGCTGTCTATGGCACCTGCAAAGCGATGAACTCGTCGGCCGATCCCAACAGCAATTTCAATGTGACATGGAAATTTAATGTCGAACCTGATTTCCAGTACCTCATTCGCTTTCACTTCTGCGATATAGTGAGTAAAGCTGCTCACCAGCTCGTCTTCAATGTATTTATTAACTCCTTACTAATTGTACAGGCTCTGGAACTCTCCGATAAAACATTTAACGTCCTGGGTGCTCCAGTTTTTATGGACTTCGTTCTGGGGTTAAGTTCCGATAGCAAGATCGTGGTCAGTATTGGTCCTAATACGGTGGGTGGAGCTCCCCCAAATGGCATTTTGAATGGGCTGGAGATTATGAAGATGAACAATTCCATGGGAAGCCTTGATGGGGATGTCTCTGCAACCACTTTCACACCATCGAGTTCGCACAAGAAGATGGGCTTGGTGGTGGGTGCCGCCCTTGGGGTGTTCTTTGCATTGGCAGTTGTAGTTCTGTTCTTCTTGTGCAGGAGACGCCGACTGGCACAGCATCATGGTTCAAAGACGTGGATTCCATTACCCATCAATAGAAGAGGTAACTCCCACAGCATGGGGAGCAAGTTCTCTAATGGAACTGCAACGAGCATCGCCCCAAACCTTGGATACCGCTTTCCTTTTGGGGCGCTGCAGGAGGCCACGAACAATTTTGTCGAGAGTTGGGTTATTGGGGTCGGTGGGTTTGGCAAGGTGTACAAGGGAGTTTTAGGAGATGGCACCAAGGTTGCAGTGAAAAGGGGTAATCCCCATTCCCAGCAGGGTCTTGCAGAGTTCTGGACTGAAATCGAGATGTTATCTCAGTTCCGCCACCGCCATCTGGTGGCGCTGATTGGGTACTGTGATGAGAGGAAAGAAATGATCTTAGTTTATGAGTATATGGAGAATGGGACCCTGAAAGGTCATCTTTATGGCTCAAATCTACCAAGCTTGAGTTGGAAACAGAGGCTTGAGATATGCATTGGAGCAGCCAAGGGACTACATTACCTTCATACCGGTTCTGTGAAGGCAATTATCCACCGAGATGTCAAGTCTGCTAACATATTACTGGATGAGAATCTCATGGCCAAAGTTGCAGACTTTGGGCTTTCCAAGACAGGACCCGAGATCGACAAGACCCATGTCAGTACTGCTGTGAAAGGGAGTTTTGGGTATCTTGATCCCGAATATTTCAGGAGACAACAACTGACGGAGAAGTCAGATGTGTACTCATTTGGGGTAGTTTTGTTTGAAGTCATCTGTGCAAGACCTGTCATCGATCCATCCCTTCCAAGGGAGATGGTGAACTTGGCCGAGTGGGCGATGATTCATCAGAGGAGAGGGCAATTGGAGCAAATCATAGACCCTAACCTTGTGGGTAAGATAAGGTCTGCTTCTCTGAGGAAATTTGGAGAGACTGCCGAGAAATGCCTGGCCGAGTATGGCGTTGATCGGCCCACAATCGGGGATGTGCTATGGAACCTGGAGTACGCACTTCAGCTTCAGGAAGCAAATGAAACTGATGAAGACAGTATTAATCAGATTGGTGAGGTGTCGCCGCTAGTTATCAATGTGAATCCGGTGGAGAACAGTGTTACAACTGAGAGGTTGGGAGGGTCGACATTGGGTGATCTATCGGGTGTCTCCATGAGTAGGGTTTTCTCTCAGCTGGTGAAATCCGAAGGGAGGTGATCCAACACATGCAGCTCTAGCCAAGGATTATCAAAAGGGGCATTCTATCTATATTCTATTGTGCAGTAGTAGTGCTCTTTCTTTTGTACAGGGTGAGGGTTCGAGTAATTTGTTTCACTTCATATAAACAATACATCCATCTCCATCTAGTTGAGTGTATTCTTGTTGTAATTGTAATCAGTAGATTCAGTTATTGAGCCATTATAGAATATTTGTGTTTTCAATCCAAGGAATGAGATTCAATCTTTTTCTAATTTGTCAACAAACAAGTAACAACAATCCAGGCTGCAAAGGGACAGGGGACTCGTATTTATCCATCTAGCACTCTAGCAGTGGTGGTCATAGGCTCATAGCCAGCCTTTTTTTTTTTTTTGTACCACTAGGACTCAGTCAACTAACTAAGCAACTAGTGAGAATTGGACAGAGTCGGTCCAAGCCTCCAACTATTCTATATCACCTTGGCTGCAACCTGCAATTGCATATAAAAATGACCTGTCAGGTATCAGAAGTTGCAAATTTGCATTCTATTGGGGAAAAAGAAGAGAAAGGAAACAAATACAGGAGTAAACCAATTAACACAGTCTCCTACATATTATGGGCCTGGGTTTATGGCTTCATGGAAGATATTAGATATCTGGGTGGGGAGGACTGCTTTACGGTATAACTCTGCAAACAGGGCTATATTACAGTCATGTGGTTAATTAGGAGTGAGACCCAAGAGCCAAAAGGTCTCAATCAAGCTCTTGATGTCGTGTAGAAGATGAAAACTCAGGGCGATAGAGCAATTTTAATGGGCGCCATCTATTCTTCATGGCAATAATTGATAACTCGAGTAGAATGAGAAACCGTTACTCTCTTCTTCTTGTCGTCTTTTCTTTGCAGGGGTTCAGAAATATATATACAAACATCTCCTAATTATACATAGATTCTGGTTCTACCTCTCCTAGTTACATACAAYTTACGCTGAGAGTTATCCCTGAATTCAAGGGATATCCCCTAGTTTTACAGCTCACGCCAATACTCCCCCTCACGTTGGTGCGTACAGATCTTGGACGCCCAACT